GAGAGTCCCTTGGACTGCAGGGAGATCCAACCAGTCCATCCTAAAGGAGATCAGTCCTGGGTGTTCATTGGAAGGATTGATGTTGAAGCTGAAACTCCAATACTCTGGCCACCTGATGCGAAGAGCTGACTCATTGGAAAAGACCCTGATGCTGGTAAAGATTGAGGGCAGGAGCAGAAGGGGACGACAGAGGATGAGATAGTTGGATGGCATCACCAACTCGATGGACATGGGTTTGGGTGGACTCTGGGAGTTGGTGATGGACAGGGAGGCGTGGCGTGCTGCAGTTCATGGGGTCGCAAAGAGTCGGACACAACTGAGCAACTGAACTGAATTGGTCATAAGAAACGGTCGTAACAGTTAACACTGTCGGGTACTGTTTCCCAGTTGCTTTTTCATGGGCTTCATACATATCATTTCTTCATACATATCATTCTTTATCTTTACAACCACCCTAAGAGGAAGAATCATATTATTACCCCTATTTTAGAGATTAGGCAACCAAGTTATAAGTAACTTACTCAGTGTTACACAGGTGGCATTGGGGTCTTGACCTGGGTAGTCTGGCTCAAGTTCATGCTCTTAACTAGTATGATATACAAAAGGATGAAAGAATTCTGGCAATAAAGAGATGCTGGAAAGTATGTCCATTATATCTCAGTAAAACTGGGAGAGGAGAAGACCCAGGAAGTTGTTACAGAAAGAAAGCAGGTCCAACAGTATTGATATCAGACAAGATTGAATTGGAAGAGGAAAGCTTTGAAAGGGCCAAAGAGGACTCTTTCACATTATAAGATGATAAACATCATCAAGAATAAACAGCAGGAACCCTTTATTGACCTAATAGCTTCAAAATATAAATCAGAAGCTGACTGAAGTACCCTTTAACGATGACAAAATCAGAATCACAATAGGAGACTCATATGCCTCTCAGAGAACATTAATAAAGAATATTTTAAAAATAAGAACATAAAGAACTTAAATATTCAATAAATTACCTGCAGCTAATGTCCTACCATGGCCACAGGACTGTAAAAGGTCAGTTTTCTTTCCAATCCCAAAGAAAGGCAATGCCAAAGAATACTCAAACTACCGCACAATTACAGTCATCTCACACGTTAGTAAAGTGATGCTCAACATTCTCCAAGCCAGGCTTCAACAGTATGTGAACCGTGAACTTACAGATGTTCAAGCTGGATTTAGAAAAGGCAGAGGAACCAGAGATCAAATTGCAAACAGCCATTGGATCATTGAAAAAGCAAGAGAGATCTGGAGAAACATCTACTTTGCTTTATTGACTATGCCAAAGCCTTTGATTGTGTGGACTACAACAAACTGGAAAATTCTTAGAGATGAGAATATCAGACCACCTGACCTGCCTCTTGAGAAATCTGTTTGCAGGTCAGGAAACAACAGTTAGTACTGGACATGGAACAACAGACTTGGTTCCAAATAGGGAAAGGAGTACGTCAAGGCTGTATGTTGTCACCTTGCTCATTTAACTTTTATTCAGAGTACATCATGAGAAAGGCTGGGCTGGATGAAGCACAAGCTGGAATCAAGATTTCCGGGAGAGATATCAATAACTTCAGTTATGCAGATCACACCATCCTTACGGCAGAAAACAAAGAAGAACTAAAGAGCCTCTTGATGAAAGTGAAAAAGGAGAGTGAAAAAGTTGACTTAAAACTCAACATTCAGAAAACTAAGATCATGGCATCTGGTCCAACACTTCATGGCAAATATATAGGAAACAGTGGAAACTGGCTGACTTTATTTTTCTGGGCTCCAAAATCACTGCAGATGGTGATTGCAGACATGAAATTAAAAGATGCTTGCTCCTTGGAAGAAAAGCTATGACCAACCTAGACAGCATATTAAAAAGCTGACACATTACTTTGCCAACAAAGGTCCGTCTAGTTCAAGCTATGGTTTTTCCAGTAGTCATGTATGGATGTGAGGGTTGGACTATAAAGAAAGCTGAGTGCTGAAGAATTGATGCTTTTGAACTGTGGTGTTGGAGAAGACTCTTGAGAGTCTCTTGGACTGCAGGGAGATCCAACCAGTCCATCCTAAAGGAGATCAGTCCTGGGTGTTCATTGGAAGGATTGATGTTGAAGCTGAAACTCCAATACTTTGGCCACCTGATGTGAAGAACTGACTCACTGGAAAAGACCCTGATGCTAGGAAAGATTGAAGGCAAGAGGAGAAGGGGATGACAGAGGATGAGATGGTTGGATGGTATCACCAACTTAAAGGACATGGGTTTGAGCAAGCTCCGAGAGTTGGTGATGGACAGGGAGGCCTGGCGTGCTGTAGTCCATGGGGTTGCAAAGATTCAGACACTACTCTGGCTGAACTGAACTGAACATCCTACCTGGGCTTCCCTGGTGCCTCAGTGGTAAAGAATCCACCTCCAATGCAGGATATGCGGGTTCCATCCCTGGGTCAGGAAGCTCCCCTGGAGAAGGAAATGGCAACTCACTCCAGTATTCTTGTCAGGAAAATCCCATGGACAGAGGAGCCCGGCGGACTGTAGTCCATGGGGTCGCAAAAGAGTCAGACATGACTTAGCAACTAAACAACAATGTCCTAAGTAGTGAAAGACCAAAGGCTGTTTGTACCATGTGAATTTTCCACCATGTGCCCAAGAAAGAAAGTTGCCCTCATTAAAAAAAAAAGTGGGAGAGACTTCCCTGGTGGCACAGTGGTTGACTCCCCTCTTCCACTGCAGAGGGCACAGGTTCAGTCCCTGGTGGGGGAACTAAGATCCCACATGCCATGCAGCACACCAAAAGAAAAAAGACGCCAACCTTAAAAATAGAATCAATAAAATAAAAGGTAAGGAGCAATCAGACCTGTCTCAAATTTAGATATCAACACTCTTCTGGATCTCAGCTGGACTTTTAAAAGTGAGACAAAACCAAACTTAGACTTGTTTTCCAAGCACAGTCAGATGTGTCCATGCCTTTCTGAATCCAAATCAAATGTAAGTGTCTTCCACTTTCAGAAAGTCTTTCCATACAGTATATATAATATATATATATATATATATATATATATATACTATTTTATCAGGATTTGGAAAGAAAGAAGACTACATGCATACTGACTTCTTGCTCCTGAAAATGGCTGAATTGTTTTCTTTTGTTTTCAACACAGCAGCAGTTGTAGCAAACCTAAGAGTGTGTGCATGTGGTCAGCGAGCAGGATGGGAATTTCCAGGGAATCTTCCTGGGTCACCCAGGACCCACAGGGAGTGGAGAGGGAGGACATGAAGCCTTTCCACGGCCCTCAACTGCATGGTTCCTCGGGCTGCTAAGGGCAAAGGGAGGTGGCCCCGCCGGAGCCACGTCCACAGACATGATAAAAGTGGCACAGCCTGTGGGCTTCCTGCTTGTGTGCTAAGTCTCCTCAGCTGTGACCGACTCTTTGTGACCCCCATGGACTGTAGCCCACCAGGCTCCTCTGACCATGGGATTCTCCAGGAAGAATACTGGAGTGGGTTGCCATGCCCTTCTCCAGGGGATCTTCCTGAACCAGGGATTGAACCTGAGTCTCCAGCATTGGCAGGCGGGTTCTTTACCATTGGCACCACCTGGGAAGCCTGGGGCTTCCTACAAAACCTGGTACTTATGCTAGACAGACACAAGACACCAGCCAGCTTCCTTCCTGATTGGCTTTCAGGGATGAAAAACTGTTAAGTCATCAGGGTTGCTCTCACCTGTACTAGAGGAAAATGTCCAGAAAAGCAGACTAATATGACCAAGATGATTGCTTGTACTATTGCTGCAATTGTAGAAATACATCTTTTCCACCAGTGTTCTAATAAAGTACACCTTTCGCAATGGACTTCACCTATTTATATACGGCATTTAATTCAACATTCAGCAAATATTTATTGAACAGTTACCTTGTGTTAGGTGCTGGGGTACAGCTGTAAATAAGAGAATGCCCTTGTTTGAACAGAGTCCTTAGGTATGCAGTCAGGGGACAATTAAAAAAAGAAACAATTGCAAGGAGTGATAAATGCTGTGATGAAAATATTATGGAGCTAGGGCCACCAAGGGCTTCCCTAGTGGCTTAGAGGTTAAAGCGTCTGCCTGCAATGTGGGAGACCTGGGTTTGATCCCTGGTTTGGGAAGATCCCCTGGAGAAGGAAATGGCAACCCACTCCAGTATTCTTGCCTGGAGAATCCCATGGATGGCGAGGATCCTAGTGGGCTACAGTCCATGGGGTCGCAAAGAGTCGGACACGACTGAGAGACTTTACTTTCACTTTTCAGGGCCACCAAATAAAATATTGGACACCCGGTTCTATGTGAATTTCAGATAGATACTGTTTTTTTGTTTTTTAGTGTAAGTACGTTCCATGCAATATAGGTAGGAGGCTACATCATCTGGCCCCTGCAGATCTAACTCCTTCTCCGGCCGTGCTCCACTTTATTTTTTAAGCCCCAATATAGCCGGGTCCTGCCTCAGAGCCTTTGCTATTAGCATCCCCTCTTCCTGGAAAGCTCTGCAGGCTAATCTACAGCTGTCTTCTTGTTAAACTTCAGATCACTTGTTTAGAGGTCTCCTCTGGCCATCCCCAGTCTATGTCACTGCTTGCCGTATCACTGTCTTTCAATCTTCTCACAGCACTTATTAAATCTGAAAAGATCTTCTTTATTCCTTTCCTCTCTTTAAAACATAAGCTCCACAAGGGGCAGAAAAGTTCTCTTCTATCGGAGATGCTTTGGCCATGACTTTGGACAGTTCCTTCGATAGTTGTATAAAACCCACTAGATGCCCTGACATCAAAAGAGGGCACAATTCAGCGGACACACGCCGCTGGTGTGCCCTTCTCAGAACCGGGAGAGGGATGCCCACTAGGGCTGTCAAAGAGCATTGCCGCGCGTGACGTCCTAGCCCCCCCAGAGCGGGGCCGTGATTGGTGATTGGAATCTGGGTGGAGCAGAGCGCCCTTGGCCCCGCCTCTTACTCGGCCTCTTGTACGCATGCGCTCCGGCCGCAGCCTCCCTGCCGCGCCATTTTGCCGGGGTTTGAATGTGAGGTGTGGAGCGGCGGTAGGAGTGGAGTGCAGGCTACGGTCCGAGACTGGGCTTCCCTTCTCCGTCCCCGCGTTCCCACGAGGTGAGGCGCAGGCCTGCACGGCCTGGTATCGGGGCCTCTCGGGATCGGACTGGGGGAGGGTGGAGGCGCTCTCTGCGCTTCCGAACGCTGGGAAGCCAGGACCGCACCTCCGGGCGAGAGCGGAATATTGGCCCGTGTCTGGCGCAGCGCCCGGGGGCAGGGGCTTCGCCCTCGCGTGTCGCCTCCCCTGGCGGCATCCCAGGTCTGAGGTGCAGGTTCGGTAAGCAACCCCACCCCCGCCCGGGCCTGTGAGGAGCGAGGGCGGCCCGGGCGAGGCCTAACCCGTGCGGCGCGAGCGCCCGCCTCTTCCTCCCCAGCGCCGCGCTGATTGGCCGCGCTCTCGGGGCGGCCTGCTCTCATTGGTCGCACCCGTGCGTCCGTTCTCTGCGCGCCCGGCCGCCCGCAGCGTGAGGCGAGTGCGGCTGCGGGGCCTGGCCCGCTGAGGGTGGGCGTGCGAGCCGCCGTCCGGGCCGTCGCCGCTACCCTGGACCTCCCTTTCCCGTTAGGGCGGCGGCGGCGGAGCGCCACACCGCAGAGGGCTTCGGCCTCCGCGACTGTGAAACGGGCCCGGTGATCTCACTTTGCTGAGTTGCTCGTGTGGGTTAGACTGTGGTCTGTGCCCCCGAGGGGGTCCGTGCACCTGTGGGGTGACCCAGGGTCCGCCCCTTGAGGGAACACCTACGGTGTGGTAGTTCGGAGCACTGGGATTCAGCTTAGGAACGGGAAGGCCTGGATTCGTTTCCATATTTAACCCCTCCTTATGGCTGGTCACTTGATCTCTCCGAGTTTCCACTTCCTCATCTGGAAAAGCGGGGTTGAAAATATCTACCTCGTAAAGTGGCTGCGGGTCCCCTGAGTTCCTACCCTGGTTTACCAAGCCCCGTCTGGGGTGACCGGTGTCCACCTCTCCCACCCAACTCTTCTCCTTGAGCACTGTAGCCATGCTGCTTACGTTTTCTTTTTCTTACATTTTCGGCGCGCATGTCCTCCAGAAAGCGTTCGGACGCGCCTTTCGTTTGCTTGGACTTGCCAGCAGCAGATCTTTGCAAGGCTGGTTCCCTGTCCTCCAGGTTTCACTCACATTACTCGTTTTTTTGACCAACCTTTTAAAGGATCTGTTTCAACTAATCACATCAGTCTGGTTTTATTTACTTCATAGTTTTTATCATGTTCTAGGACTTCCCTGGTGGGTCTGACGCTAAAGCGTCTGCCTACAATGCGGGAGATTCGGGTTCGCTCCTTGGGTCGGGAAGATCCCCTGGAGAAGGAAATGGCAACCCACTCCACTACTCTTGCCTGGAAAAATCCCATGGACGGAGAAGCGTTCTGTCTACTGTCCATGGGGTTGCAAAGAGTCGGACACGACTGAGCCACTTCAGTTTTTATCATGTTCTGGAAACACTAAGTTTACTTGGTTATTGTTTTTTCCCAAATTGCAAAAGCCGATACATTACCTGTGTTGCTGCTGTAAGCAGGTGGCCAGTGCTTGCCACGTGGTAGATGCACAGTATTATTCCTGGAAGTAGTAGTGCCCGGGAAGGGACTTTCTGCTCGGATTCCGCCGGTGCTCTTTCTCTCCTCCTCTTGGGCCACCACAGTGACGCATTCTGCCCTTTTCTGTGTGTCTCCATTTTTCTCATGATTGGTGGGACTGGATCTACCCAGCTTCTTACTTTTCTAAGACCCTGTATTTCTTTACACCAGTGCAGGAGAATTCTTTGTCCCTTCTGTTTATTTTGATTTTTGCTGGTTGGGAGCTAGGATAGAGGAGAACCATTTTCTGTAGAGTATTAGATAGGTTTGGGGGCAGTGCTCTACCTTTGGTATTAAAACTTGATAAATTCATTTAATCCACTTAATCTCTTTTTTTTTCATAAATCCACTTAATCTCTTTGAATACAGTGAAATTTCTCTTTTTTGTCTCAAACAAAATGGACAGTTCCTTCCCTTGGGGAGCTTATATTCTAGTGGGGGAAAGACACAAGATTACAAATAAATGACCTCAATAATTCCAGACAAGTGACAGATGAAGGCGACTTCTCTGAGGAGGTGGCATTTGAGCTGAGACCAGCTATGGAAAGATGAGGGAACAGATCATTCCAGGCCAAGAGAATAGAAAGTACAAAGGGTTCAAGGAAAATGCAGCTTTCAGAGAGCAGTATGTGAAGGGACAGGTATCTAGAGGTCAGATCACATCCGGCTTTGTACAAAGTAAAAAATTTGGATCTGCATCTCAGTGGTACATTCCTGTGATTAGAAAGCAGAGGGTGGACTGAGGTGTTGAACTGTGTTCTTAATGTGTGTGTGCCAGATAGTTTTCATTTATTGGATCTCTCTCCCTTCCCCCAGATGTAGGGCCTCTGGAGTGGTTCTCTAATGCAGAGGAAATATCTTAAGGAAGAGGCATACATCTTGGGTCAACTTACGTCACAGATGTCCGTGTGGTGGCCTTGGAAAGCAAAGCTTTTATTCCAAACGTCTTCATCTGTAATTGAGGACCTCTGAGAAGAGGCTAGACTTGGGTCCAGCCAGTCTTTCAACAAAAAGTCTGGCATAATTGATTTATTGTGGGACATAAAGTGAAAGTCACTCATTAGTGTCCAACTCTTTGCAACCCCATGGACTGGAGAGTCTGTGGAATTCTCCAGGCCAGAGTACTGGAGTGGGTAGCTGTTCCCTTCTTCAGGGGATCTTCTCAACCCAGGAATCTAACCCAGGTCTCCTGCATTGCAGGCAGACTCTTTACCAGTTGAGCCACCAGGGAAGCCCATTGTGGTACGTGTTTTTCTTGTATTTTTTTGGTAGAGATTTCCAGAAATAGCTCAGTGGAGAAGTAAAGTATCACCCTTCATTTAAAGGCAAAAGTGAATTTTTTCATTTCTAGTTTGTCTTTTAAAGTCTGTAATGCTTTTTACATTTATATATTGCACATATTTCAGAATGTCAGTGTACCTCCACCTCTGGCAAATAAAGATAACTAGACCTTGATCTTGCTGATGTATTGTGAATACCTGTGGAGTATTCTCTAAAATTACCTGATTTGTCATATTTTTACAAATCAGGACTAAGCTTTGGATTTAGAGACACTGTCACTGAGGAGACAGAAAAGGGATTTTTTTTGACATTTAGTCCCTTAACATTTAAAATATAAGATTTATGTAGTATTTTAACTTTGGGGGGTTGTAGCATGCATGTTTATATTCCTCCAGCGCCACCACCACCACTGCGTGCGCGTGCGCACACACACAGTTTTAGCACATGTTTATATTTCTTCACCATTGTGCGTGCGCACAAACACAGTTTTTAGCACACATGTTTATGTTCCTCCTCCACCACCGCACACACAGTTTTCCCCCCATACACTTTTTTTTAAACCCTTGCACTTCAACTTCGTCATTTTATGGGGGTCACTGTGCTCTTAGAATCAGTTGTCTCCAGCTCTTCCTGTGTCAGTTGACTGAATAAATGTGAAGAATGATAGTGCTTTTTGATGGGGGAAAAGAAGATCAATAAAGGGTATATAGCTTTTGACAATAGCACAGATACATAGTACGTGCTCTTCACTGTTTTAAGAATCTAGGGAGATTACAGTGGACAAAACACAAAGTCGTTGCTTACAGTCTAATGGAAGGAGAAGCATAGCAAACAAGAAAACAGTTTACAGGCCTGATAAAATTTACCTGGAAAAGCAAGATCAGAGAATGGATGGAGAGGGACTGAGCTGGGTGCTGTTTTAGATAGGATGGTCCAGGGCAGCATCTCAAAAAAGAAGAGACCCGAGTGAAGCAGGGAGTGAACTACAAAGCTCTCCGGGGGCAGAGCTGCCTAAGCGGAGGAGACAGTAAGTCCTAACTCCCGAAATAAGCACTGGCAAATATGAACAATAATACAGGATAACATTCAAACTCCCATCTTCTTTGAAATATTTTTGAATGAACAGAAACTAATTATGTCAGTATGTTGGTCACTATTTATCTGACAGATATAACTTGAGTTCCTACATTATGTCAGGCTTGCTAATAACTGATGCTCAGAGAATAGTCTCCAATCCACACTGGATCCATGTTTTAGCCGGTTGACTGACCTACTAGCTTATCCATTAGTTCATGCGCCAAATGCTTAGTGAATACTGTGTGCCAGGCAATGTTGAAGGTCCTGGGCTACAGAGATGAGCAAGACCTACAAAGTCCCTGCCTCAGAGAGCTTACAAATAAGAGATAAAAAGTCAAAGATATCTCAGATGAGAATAAGTGCTGTGAACAGTGCGACAGGGATGAGGTAGATGATGGTTGTGGAAGGCTTTTTTGAGGAGTTGACAGTGGGCTGGATAGATGCCTGATGTCAAATTAGAAGGCAGGGTTATTACAGTCAGGGAGAACTCTCGTCTGGTTTGAGGAACAGAAGGCTTTGATGGCTGAAACATAATCAGCAAGAAGGTCGGAGATAAGGTTGACAGGTGCCAGCTTGCGTGGGACTCTGTCATGAAGAAAGTTAGTAAAATGCAGGTTTATTAAGGAGTGTGTTTAAAATTTAAACTCAACAAAATAGGTTCAATTAACCTCTGTAATCCCCTAAATACACATGCTACCTTGTGTAAATCCCAAAATGTAGAATAATTTGCATGTAGCAAAAACTGACTTCAATTTTTTTTTAGCTTATGTATACTGATGTAAACGGTTTTCCTTGGCAACAGAAAACTTTGATGTTTTCATAACAGATTCAGCATTTCAACACAAAAAAGAATGGGAAATGAATTGATGAAATCACTGCTTTCCGGCCTGTGTTCCATAATAAAGTGGTTCTGTGGCCAGGCTCTGGAGGAAGCTCTGGAGTAAACAATGTTAAACGGGTAACTTACTCTTTGGTTCTTGAAGCTTTTAAAGTGCATCTCCAAAAGAGGGTGAATATGATGCATAGCATTTTCCAAACCTTTGGTGTAAGAAACAGGAAGGGTTGCTTCTCAGTAAGTTGTGTGTGTGGTTGAGTGGAACTTCATGCCCATAGAGTGGTTTGCCCTGGATTAAAGGAAGTGAATATATAAGTGGTGGAGTCTACCAAATCAGCCAGCGTGTTGGCTTCCCTTGTGGTAAAAACGAGTGTGTTGAGAAGAACACAGATAGCTTCAAAGATTGGTCTCCTTAGAAGGCCGTGGTTTCTGGCTGTGGAGGAGTACTCTTCACAGCATTAGCTGTAGCCCTTTATAAAGCCTATTAATCATTTGTAATATATTAGATGTGGATTTTTTTGGTCAGTCATAGCATATTCTGTGATTTATATTTAGTTTTAAAGTTTAAATATTTGAAAAGTTGCTTTTTATTGAGATATAATTAAGATGTAACATTGTTAATTTTAGGTGCACAACAGAATGGTTTGACGTGTATATATTGTGAAATGATCGCAATAAACCTAGTTAATTAACCTCCATCAACACACAAAGTTAGAAATTTATTTGTCTTGTGTTCTGAACTGTTAGGATTTCCTGTTCTAGTAACTTTGAAATATACAACACGCTGCTGTTAACTGGAGTCTCTGTGTTGGACATTGCATCCTTGTGATTTATATGTTTATTTCGTAACTGGAGGTTTGTACCTTTCTACCCACCTTCATCCATTTGCCCCTGCCATGCAGTCAACCACCAATCTGTTTGGTTTTTTTTTAACCAGTCTGTTTGTTGTTTTGCCATGCCCCCACCAGTCTGTTTTTTTGTTGTTGTTTTGCCACACACCACAGTGTGTGGGACAAACAGAAGCCATGCCACCTGCATTGGTAGGCAGAGTCTTAGTCACTGGACCACTGAGGAAGTTCCCTGATCTGCTTTTTATCTATGAATTTTTGTTTTTAAGATTCCACATAGAAACATGATCATGTGGTATTTCATCTCAGTTCAGTTGCTCAGTCCTGTCTAACTGTTTGCGACCCCATGGACTGTAGTATGCCAGGCTTCCCTGTCCATCACTAACTCCTGGAGCTTACCCCAACTCATGTCCATCATGTCAGTGATGCCATCCAGCCATCTCATCCTCTGCCGTCCCCTTCTCCTGCCTTCAGTCTTTACTAGCATCAGGGTCTTTTCCAATGAGTCAGTTCTTCGCATCAGGTGGCCAGAGTATTGGAGTTTCAGCTTCAGCATCAGTCCTTCCAATGAATATTCAGGACTGATTTCCTTTATGATGGATTGGTTGGATCTCCTTGCAGTCCAAGGGACTCTCAAGAGTCTTCTCCAACACCACAGTTCAAAAGCATCAATTCTTCAGCACTCAGCTTTCCTTATAGTCCAACTCTCACATCCATACATGACTACTGGAAAAACCATAGCCTGGACTAGACGAACCTTTGTTGGTAAAGTAATGTGTCAGCTTTTTAATATGCTGTCTAGGTTGGTCATAACTTTTCTTCCAAGGAGCAAGCGTCTTTTAATTTCATGGCTGCAGTGATTTTGGAGCCCAAAAAAATAAAGTCTGTCACTGTTTCCCCATCTATTTGCCATGAAGTGATGGACCAGATGCCATGATCTTAGTTTTCTGAATGTTGTGTTTTAAGCCAGCTTTTTCACTCTCCTCTTTCACTTTCATCGAGAGGCTCTTTAGTTCTTCTTTGCTTTCTGCCATAAGGGTGGTGTCATTTGCGTATCTGAGGTTATTGATATTTCTCCTGGCAATCTTGATTTTAGTGTGTGCTTCATCCAGCCCAGCATTTTGCATGATGTATTCTGCATATAAGTTAAATAAGCAGGGTGACAATATACAGCCTTGACGTACTCCTTTCCTGATTTGGAACCAGTCTGTGTTCCATGTCCAGTTCTAACTTGCTTTTTGACCTGCATACAGATTTCTCAAGAGACAGATCAGATGGTCTGGTATTCCCATCTTTTGAAGAATTTTCCACAGTTTGTTGTGATCCACACAGTCAGACGCTTTGGCATAGTCAATAAAGCAGAAGTAGATGTTTTTTCTGAAACTCTCTTGCTTTTTCAATGATCCAGCGGATGTTGGCAATTTGATCTCTGGTTCCTCTGCCTTTTCTAAATCCAGCTTGAACATCTGGAAGTTGATAGTTCATTTACTATTGAAGGCTGGCTTGGCGAATGTTGAGCATTACTTTGCTAGCATGTGAGATGAGTGCAATTGTGTGGTAGTTTGAACATTCTTCGGCATTTGCCTTTCTTTGGGATTAGAATGAAATTGACCTTTTCCAGTTCTGTGGCCACTGCTGAATTTTCCAAATTTGCTGGCATATTGAGTGCAGCACTTTCACGGCATCATCTTTTAGGATTTGAAATAGCTCAACTGGAATTCCATCACCTCCACTAGCTTTGTTCATAGTATTTTTGCTTCCTAAGGCCCCTCCAGGATGTCTGGCTCTAGGTGAGTGATCACACCTTGGTGATTATCTGGGTCATGATCTTTTCTGTATACTTCTTTTGTGTACTCTTGTTACTTCTTCTTAATACCTTCTGCTTCTTTTAAGTCCATATCATTTCTGTCCTTTATTGTGCCCATCTTGGCGTGAAATGGTCCCTGGTATCTCTAATTTTCTTGAAGAGATCTCTAGTCTGTGGTATTTATTTATCATTTATTTCACTTAGTATACTGCCCTTAGGATCCATCCATGTTGTGTCAGATGGCAGGGCTTTCCCTTTTTGTGTGTGGCTGGATAATATTCATTCTGTATGTATACTACATTGCATTATCCATTGATGAATACTTAGGTTGCTTCCATGTGTTGACTGTTGTTAATAATGCTGCAGTGAACAGCAGTCAACAGGAGTACAGATATCTCTTCCGGTTAGAGTTTTCATCTCCTTCAGATAAATACCTAGATGTGGAATAGCTAGAACATGTGGTAATTCTGTTTTAAGTTTTTGAGGAACCTCCATACTTTCATAGTGGCTGCACTAATTTACATTCCCACCAACAGGGTACCAGGGTTTCCTTTTCTCCCCATCCTTGCCAAATGCTTGTTATTTCTTGTCTTTTTTATTATAGTCGTTCTAACAGGTGTGGGGTGATAATCTCACTGTGGTTTTGATTTGCATTCCCTTGTGTTTAGTGATGTTGAGCACCTCATCATATTTTCTTTGGAAAAATGTCTATTCAGTTTTTCTGCCCATTTTTCAATTGGACTCTTTCTGAGTTGTATGAGTGTTTTGTTTTGTTTTTAATTTTTTATGTTTTGGATATTAATTCTTTATCAGATATGATTTGTAAATATTTTCTCCTATTTAGTATGTTGCCTTTTCATTTTGTTGATGGTTTGCTTTGCTGTGCAAACATTTTTAGTTTGATGTCGTTCCACTTGTTTATTTTTGCTTTGACTTAGCTTTTGTGTAGAAAGTTGCTTTTTAATTACAACCGCAACTGTCACCTTACGAACCCCAAAATTATCTTCCCAGGTGCAAATTCTCAGTATGTAGTTTGTTGTCAATACCTATGGCTGCCTGCTCTACACAAAAGAATTTACTCTAGTTTCTTTAATCTCAGAACTCAATGGGATCCTTATTTTACTGCTTAAAAATTTTAATTTTTTATTGTGGCTTTTAAAAAAAATCTAATAATTTGTCTTTTTAACCTTTAGTTTGTGACATGTTTTTTCTTCTGTGTCTCAAAATTGTCTCATCTCTGATTCAAAAAAGCCCATCTTCTGGAACCTTGTCTTGGCTAAGAATAAGGCTTATAGGCGATACCCAAAGCATATCAAGTAGATGACTTTCAGAGAGGAGGACATCCATAATGTAAAATGATTCTCTTATGTGAATCCCTGTATCTTCACGTGATCAATTACCCAAACCTTATTTTTGTTTTAGGGTCAATGGCAATGGAGCTCAGTGATGCGAATTTGCAAACACTAACAGAATATTTAAAGAAGACTCTTGATCCTGATCCTGCCATCAGGCGTCCAGGTAAAGTGAATAAATAGTCTCTGTGGTTGATTTATTCTTTTTTTTTATTAGTTGGAGGCTAATTACTTGACAATATTGTAGTGGTTTTTGCCATACATTGACATGGATCAGCCATGGATTTACATGTGTTCCCCATCCTGAACCCCCCTCCTACCTCCCTCCCCTGATTTATTCTTTTTTTTTTTTCCCCTGATTTATTCTTAAAGGACAGGTGAGAGAAACCTTTGTGCAATCTGTCTGTTTGTAAATTTTTAAAAAGAGATTAACACTTGAATTCTTAGGCATAGTTTATTTTTCATTTTCTGGCCTAAAGTGTTTAGATAGCTGCTTACAGCTGCTATAACATATGGTAGTGGATTTTTTCCTTGTTTGTTTGTTGTGTTTTTGTTTCTTGAGTAAAATAACTTTTATACCTTTTGGGATAAAAAGGACTTGTAAGTTTAGGATGCTTTGTTCGCTGACCTTCCTGAAAATCCCTACACCTTCCTGTTTGAGAGATAATATGCAGAACATAGAGGTAAGAGTTAATTGCCTTAAAAGTGTGTAAGTGAATGAAACTAGGTAATCCCCATGTTGGGTTTGATTTAATTAATATTTTAAGACCTAGGGTTCCTCCCCTTCTCCTCCTCCCAGATTTGACCAGTTTTCATTAGAGATTTAGTGTAAGCTTAAAATTGCAAACTTGAATGCCCATAGGAGTTGCACATGAAGGTAAAATGGTGGGGGGGTGGTGCAGGCTGCGGGGTTAACTGCCTTGGTTAAGGGGTAGTTATTATTAATATTTGGAACCATCTAACTCGGGGAGATTCAAACCAGTCTTGCAAGATCAGATTTCCAGCTTTGCTTGAAAAATACAGATACTTATATGAAGCGTTCTCATTTTTAAATGATATTGATTAACTTCAAAAACTTTTGAAATAACACACGAACCAAACAAACAACTTCTAGGGGCCACATGTTTCTCGTGTGTAGTAAGCTCATGATCCTTGCTGTGAGCCATATTAACCAGAAATGCTCTTAATCTGCTTCTTCAGAATTTACTGATGTGCATTCTCATAAAGAGAATTTTGGAAGCACTCCATGAAGACCCAGATGAATGTGTGCACATATGTGTTGTACATTATATATAGTAAATAGAATTATTTGTTTATTATTTACATGTTAATGCATCCATCCTAGTCTAGAAAGGCCTTTGTGATTTCTGTGAGGGAAAATTGTGATTTTCCTGTTAGTGCTTAAAGAAGTAATTTATTCTTGGATAAAAGGAAATTAATGGTTCTAGTCTTAGACTTTGCCAGAAAGCCTCTGCCAACATTGTTTAATGAAAATTATTTTTAATAACTCTCTTTGTAAGGTGGAGGTGCTCTTGTTTTATGAATCCAGGACAAAATATAGGAATAAATGGTTGTTTCTGAGAAGAGTTGCAAACATACATTTCACAGGGATTGCCGGATATGAAATATTGACCAACCAAATATTGAAGCAACCAAAGCCTTCTATAAAACCATATAAACCATAGTTTGTCCCCTCTTGAAAAATTTTTTTCAGTTCAGCATTCTTTATCTTTCAGTCTACCATTGTGTCACATGGTAGACACAAAGCAGGGAGGGTTTGAGGGCGGAAGTTACACTCCTGGACTCAATTAAGAAAGAAGGTGTTAAATCATACTAAATTGTAGAATAATAGATGCCAACTGCTGACCTTTTCAGCAAATATTGAACCTTGGACTGGATGCTGCCTTATGAAGCTTAAGATAGGAAAAATTAGAAGTGCTATAAATTGTCATGATCTGATCTGTAAACCCAGGAGATTTATTATCCCTAACTGTAGTATGAGTTTTAAATATATGAGTAAAATCTTTGTATAAGGTTATTGATGATATTAGAAATGTTTAGTTTGAAAAGAATACTGAGGACTAGTAGGATAGAATAAGGACTGGACTAAAACTTTTTCAGTGATGAAATCTGCTAGCTCTGTGATCTTTGACAAGCTTACTTAACCTCAGTGGCCTTGTCCTTAAAGTGAGGGTAATACTACCTACTTCTCTGGGTAGTCGTGACAGCTTAACATATGTGAGTCAAACATCAGACCCATATGATTAATAATAATATATATTAAAATGAATCAACAAATTTAATCTTAATCACAGTCCTATAAAAGAAATGTTACTACCATTACGAATAGTAGTAATAATAATCCTTCTGGAACAGGACAGGGTATATGATTTTTTTGCCCTAAAGTTGCTTAATCTCTCTGAAAAGCAGATTCTCTTTCACGTGAGGTGATCATCTGATGAGGCCACTTCATAGGTTTGTGAGATGAGTTATTGGTGAGTTAATGGATAGTAAAGTAAACTGAAAACTGAGATATTATATAAATTTAATGTAATATCATGTACAGTTCTAATCTTTCTATTTGTTGATGCTTCAGTCAGGAATATACATAGTTCACATATACATACAGTCATAAGATTTGGTTTTAATAACACATCTTCTAACATGGGAATTCTTTTCCAGCTGAGAAGTTTCTTGAATCTGTAGAAGGAAATCAGAACTACCCATTGTTGCTGTTAACATTACTAGAGAAGTCCCAGGATAATGTTATTAAAGTGTGTGCCTCTGTAACATTCAAGAACTATATTAAAAGAAATTGGAGAATTGTAAGTATTTTGTGAGTGCATAGTTTAAGACCCTTCATGTTTAGAAGATTTATGTGGGCAGCGTTCCTGAGTGATTCAGACACAGATTAGAGATAAAAAACAGCACCCTCCTCACCAAATGTTAAAAAGTCAAACCCAAAAACATACAGAAAGTATAAAAATACCATAACCAAGTGAGATTTATCCCAAATATGCATGGCTGTTTCAGCATTCAAAAACCTATAGACTGAGAAAAGGTAAGTCACATTATTATTTCAATAGGTGCAGAAAAAGCCTATGTCAAAGTCCAACATCTATTCATGGTTAAAAACTCAGTAAATTTGGAACAGAGGGGGACATTCTCGGCATGATAAGGACTGTGAAAAAGCTATAACTAATATACATAATGGTGAGAAACTTGAAACCTTCCCACTAAGATCAGGTGCAAAGCAAGGTGGTCCCCTCTCACGACTCCTTTGCAATATTTCGTTGGAGGTCCTTGATAATGCAGTAAGTAAAGGAGTATACCATTTGGGAAGGAAGATATTTTTAAAACTGTCTTTGTTCACACAAAGTTCCCATTTTATTTAAATTCATATTGATTAAGTGAACTTCATAATCTGGGCTGCTCGAGAGAGTGAGACTTTGTTTTAACCTCCAATTTGTGTTCTGTTGTTGCTGTTTTGTTCTGTTTTTTTGTTTGGTCACGCCCTGTAGCATGTGGGATCTGAGGGATCAAACCCGTGCGTCCTGTGTTGGGAGCATGGAATCTTTAACTACTGGACCGAGAGAGAAGTCCCGTGGTTGAAATTTAACTTCAGCTCTCCGCTGAAGAGACATTATGTGGAAAGTTACCCAGTCTAAATGAATAATTGAAGCAGTTTCTATTGTGGACAAGGAAAAATTGCATAAAGTTGGAAAAACCACATTTTAAATATATATATATATATATATAATGTGTATAGTGCATTTGAAGTTTTTGACAAGGGATTTGTCCTATGTCTTGGATATGGAAATACTTTCTAATTATAAGGTGAATCTTAATATTCTGCAAGTTTAATGGGGACTTTCCAGGTGGCTCAGTGGTAAAGAATCTACCTGCCAAGCAGGAGATGCAGGTTCGATCCCTGGATCAGAAAGATCCCCTGGAGAAGGAAATGGCAGCCCACTGCAGTATTCTTGCCTGGGAAATCCCATGGACAGGAGCCTGGCCGGCTACAGTCCATGGGGTCACAAAGAGTCAGACATGACTTAGTGACTAAACTACCACCACTCCAAGCTGAATCTTACTGTGCTCTAAGTTTAATGATCAGTATAAAGTTATACACTGAGAAACAGAAACGGGTATTTTCCCTACCTTAGCTTTTGACAGAGGTTCTAAAATTGGGGGTGATTTTGCCCATCTGGGGATATTTAGAGATTTTTTTGGTTGTCACTGGGGGTGGGGGTTGTTTCTGACAACCCGTGGGTAGAAGCCAAGGATACTGGTAACCAGCCTACAATGCACAAGAGAGACCCCACAACCAAGATTTATCTGACCCAAAATGTCAGTAATGGCAAGGCTGAGGTAACCCTGGGTTAAGATAAAGAAAAAGGAATGTTTTTAGTAATAATAGTAATCACATTTAGAAGGTATTAAAGTTGACAGAAATGGTCAGTTTTTCTAAAAATCAATTTGACATCTGCTTATTCATTGAGTCTTTTTTCTTAATTCCATAGAAGAATTTAAAAATAGTAAATACTGTTCTTGAACTTGTGTAGTCAAGTGTTCTCACATGTGGTGAAGAAATGAGTTGATGAATTTTAGAATGTTTAAAAATCCACACGTCTACTTGTAGACTTCCAAGCCCCGTCTGTCTTATTTGGTAAAACTAGTTAGAATCTCTTTGGGCAATCTAGTCCTGGTTGCATTTGAACTGATAATGGTCAAGTAGTACTCACTGACAAGACCTTTCTTTAACTTAAGGTAATGATCAAATTGAGGATGAATATGGGCTGAGTAGCATATATCTGAAGATTTTAACCACGTTTTGATTAATTATCATATAGAACTGAGATTCTCAATTGACATCAGAGAGTTAGAGAAGCTGATTATTAAAGGAATCTGTGACCCATTCATATAGAAGAAAAGCCCTGTCTTCCTCTGTTTTTCTTAGGAAACCAGGAAATGAGAAATGGTTCTGTTTTATCTACAAAGGCATACAGTCATGGGTATGAATTTGTGTTACTTGCTCATTAATGTTTTGCTTTTAGGTTGAAGATGAACCAAATAAAATCTGTGAAGCCGACAGAGGAGCCATTAAAGCTAACATAGTGCACTTGATGCTTAGCAGCCCGGAGCAAATTCAGAAGCAGGTATGTGAGGCCCTGCTTGTTAGGGGGCTTGTTTGTAGAGGTTTCATCTAATTAGTGTCTTTCCACCCGCAGTTAAGTGATGCCATTAGCATTATTGGCAGAGAAGATTTCCCTCAGAAATGGCCTGACTTGTTGACTGAAATGGTGAATCGCTTTCAAAGTGGAGATTTCCATGTTATTAACGGAGTCCTTCGTACAGCACATTCTTTATTTAAAAGGTATTGATATGTAAATTGATATTTCAAAAATACTTTTTTCGGGTGTTTTTGCTTGTGTGTATTTTTGTGACTGTTGTCATTCTTTTATGATAATTCTAGAATAAGAACATAAGCCTCTTCATTATCATGTTTGTTTCTTATTAAGTGTAGGATGTTTATTTCATATTGCCCTGTTACTTACAAAATACCTGGTCTTGATAAACTGTGCTTGAATTCCCTTTTTATTTCAGAAAGCTGTCTGGCCATAGATTTTTGTCTAATCTAGCCTTGAAGACATAAAGTCAGTTAACAAAAATTTGTGAATTTACCTATTTTACATTGATTTTTTTAGATATCGCCATGAATTTAAGTCAAACGAGTTATGGACTGAAATTAAACTTGTTCTGGATGCCTTTGCTTTGCCTTTGACAAATCTATTTAAGGTATGCAATAACATTTTGGTGGTATTTTTTAGTTACTTAAGTTACTAGCATTTTGTTTCTTTTTACTTTGTTTTATCTTTTTGATTTTGTATGAGTAGTTAAAAGCAAATCCCAGGCATCATATTATTTCACTCAAGTATTTGTGTATCTCTAAAGGAATAGGTCTGTATTTTGATTTGACTGTTTATGGAATTTAATTTATATACACCATTGTATAGTACATAAGCAGCTTCCCTAAACATGTTCTTCATCTTTCTGAGAATCCTTTAAGATTGAAAAAGAAGTAATGTCAACCTTTTTTTCCCCCCGATAGGGAAAGAGAAGAGTTTGGTCTCACAAACAAAAAGAGCCAGGCCTCAATAGTTTTTCTAACTCGAGAAAAGCTGCTCATTTCCTGTTTTCATAAAGGAAAGGTTGTGTGATTGTCACAACTTCTAAATTATAGAGTATGTACAGAATTTTTCATGGTTAGGATATCTTACTTATAGTACACTCTTACTTTCAAAAATAAAATTGGACAAAATGTGATCATTTTTTTCATCTATTGGATTGGCAGAGATTTTTTAAAAGTTTTAGCCAGGAACAAGTAGAACTGGTTGGGGGATCTTTTAGCCAGAGTGCACTGAAATGAATACTGGTGTCCTCCCCATTGGATTATAAATGGTACTAGCTTTCTGGAGTTTGACATTTCAATGAGAAAACCATAACATTTGTATTTCCTGACTCCAGGATATAGTTAGCAACATTTGTTGTGTGTCTTTTACATAATAGATGTGCACGAATTACCAAGACCTCTTATGTGTATTTTCTCATTTGATATATATTGGATAGGTATTAAAGTATTTTTCAAAAATCTTAATGAGTGCACACTGCTATTTAAAAGCCAAATTTTGGAGAAGATATATAAATATTGAGTTGGCCAAAAGGTTCAGCATAGTACAAAGTTTTTTCACTAAGGTTTACGATACACTTAAAGCCACCTTCCTAAATTCTTTTCCAAGGCCACTATTGAACTCTGCAGCACCCATGCAAATGATGCCTCTGCTCTGAGGATTCTTTTTTCTTCCCTGATCCTAATCTCAAAACTGTTCTACAGTTTAAACTTTCAGGTAAGTTTTATTTCTTGCTTTTGGTTCTTATTCTTTGATGTCAAATGTAAAGTTTTTCACTTGATAAAGACTTCTTTGCTAGCATGATTTCACCGCCCTCGCCCCCCAAAGAATAAGTATTAGTTGTTTTGTTTTCTGATTCCCCCCACTTTTTATCTACAAATTCTGTTCTATTTTATAGTACAGTTCCTAGACATGCTGTTGGGGTGTCATCCTATATTCTATTTTATTGAAGACACAGCACATTCTCAGGCCTTCCTCTTATTCATTTAAGTGGGTATTGACGCCGGGGGAACCCTGTTTTGATTAGAGGCCTCTGGCTAGGTAATACCAAAAAAAGCTTATAGCTTTTAATGGAAGCATATCAGGGAGACAAAACAGGGAAGAAGCAGGCTTGGGAAAGTATAATGAACCAGAACCTCTGTGTTTCACAGGAAACACGGCCACAATCTTAAAGTAGAAAATGCTTGGTCACCCTGTTGCTAGTGAAGTAGTGGCCTCCAGTCACTGTTTCTGTTCTTGAGTCAATACTTTAAATAAGAGTCAGGGCTTCAGGACAAGAAGGAAGTCTTACTGGTACAGATTCCTATACTGAGATTTAAGAGGAAGGATGTGGCCTTTTCGTTGACTTTAGCCAGAGCCAAGTACCAGACTTAATCCTCCCAACATTACTCTCTCATAGTGGTAGGGACAGCATTCCTAAAAGGAATAGATAGAATGAATAGGAGATAAATAGCCCAAAATGGCATACCTTCATTCGTGTCCACCTGGACAGCAATTTGAGAAATTCTTAAAGGATACCACTGGGTTTTTGTTTTTTTTTTTAACACCTTTGAATTCTACTTCCTAGAAGTCAGGTAGAATGAGGTGCTTAATAATTTGTTAGTCACGAAAGCCTAAGTAGGAAGGAGGCATAATCTTTACCCTTGGGGGATTATTCCTCATTAAGAGGGCAGCACTGTGCCACAGGAAATCAGTAACTGTATCAGCCAGTAAGCCTGACTTGGTGGTCATCTTAAAAACATTGCAGTAATTCAGAAAGGAAAAGAAATGTATTGGTAAGCACTGTGTTGGTGTAAGGAAAGTCTTTAGCCTTAGCTTGACCTTAAAGGAATAAGTAGATTTACATTGGGACAGGAAATGGGTGGCATCATTTGTGGTTGAAAGCTTATGGAGACAGAGTGGTTTACTCAGCTGGAGCAGCGAATTCTTGTCAAAGTAGATATTGGTTGACACAGCTGAGAAATGTGGACTTGAGTCTATAGGTATATGGAAAACATTTGCCGTCGTGGGGAAAACTTATCCAAATATGATAATTATTTCAACCCAAAGTCTCAAGTCACCATTTATTCTTTAGGATCTCCCTGAATTTTTTGAAGATAATATGGAAACTTGGATGAACAATTTTCATACCCTTTTAACATTAGATAATAAGCTTCTGCAAACTGATGTAAGTACTATTTATTTCCTAAGTAGGCTTTTTTAAACTGAGAATTATTTGAAATACAATATTAAATGTCAATTATATCTCAGTATTTTTAAATGTTAAAAAAGAACTATTTGAGTACCTCTGAGAAGATTGGAGAGAGGATAGTTAATTAGTCTTCAGAAAAATGTAAGTTATTTGAGAACATTAGCATTGTGTTTATTTACTCTTGCATTGTTAATAGATAAAATTCTAAGAATACAAGTAAAATTTGATAATGTGGGATGTTCCATATTTGATTATTTATAATGTGCAGAATTACTCTTCTTGTAGTACTGACTCAAGTCACAATTTATAGGTAAGGCTATTTCATTACATTATTGAAAGTAAGTCTTCAAGAATATTCACATTGTGAGCATTTTATGAAATAGAAAATCACTTGTCATTGAAGATACTAAGAAAACTTAAACCTTTGTAATAACAGCCTCTCTTGAAAAAGTCATCTACAGTGTGGGAAAGAGGGTACATGAAAGTTTGTAATGTGTGTAAGTTTCTGATCTGGGTTTTGTAATAAGCACTTTTCAACATAATAACACTTCTGTGTTATTCATTTGCTTGTTTATTATTATATTTATGATTTACTCTTTCTCAAGAAACAAAAAATGTAAAAGGTGATATAGTAAGAATACTTCAACACCAGATAAAAGTTAAAATTGATGATGCAGATCTGTTTGTGGAGTGGTGTACAGGGGGAGAATATTACTGTGGGTATACAGCATGTTTTACCTGAGATTTACAGAGAGGATGCAACCAAGAAGAGGGTTCCTAAAAAATTATTCCTTCAGTCCACTAGGGAAGAAAGCACCCCCTCAGAAAACAAGCTTGTCTTTACACTTAAATCTAAAGGAAGTTTCTCACATAGGATTGATTTAACTGTGTGTCATCTGTGATATTTATGCTTTGAGGAGCTGTACTTTTTATCTCTTCTCAATTTGAGTTCTCTGACACATAATATAGCTAGCTCAAAAAGTATTTGTGGATTGCTGCTGTATATCTTAAGGATTATTCTATCAGTCACTGTCATGGTTGCGAGTAGGGCTGGCAGACTTTTCCTGTAAAGGTCCACTTATTTTGGACTTGTGTACTATATGCTCAGCTCTGCAGTTGTAGTTGAAAGCGGCCATGGGTGATACTGTAAGTTGTATAAATGAAAACGAAGAATGGGTGTAGCTGGGTTTTAATAAAACTGTACTTCAGAAACTAGGCAGCAGCTTGACCCCTGCTTTAGGTGGTTCACTCAGTCCTGTCCGACTCTGCAACCCCATGGACTGTAGCCCACCAGGCTCCTCTGTCCATGGGATTCTCCAGGCAAGAATGCTGGCCATTGCCTTCTCCAACATTTTATAACCAAACTATTATTTGTGAGAATGTTATAGTATTAACTTACGGGGAAGAGAGCATATTTTAATATATTTGAAAATGAGAACCTTTTGAGAGATAGCAAGACTATGTTAGAAATGGAAGTGTGATATGATTGATGTTTATTACTCAGGTTTTTTTAGGAGTATATTATTTTCAATTTAATATATAAATATTTTGTAATTCAGCAACCAGAGGGCTTTATTTAATTTGAAAACTTCTGATAACTGTTCTCATTGATGAATAAATAAGAAGCATTTTCATATTTTATTTATTTGAAAGACCAGGTAAACAAATTTGCAGTGGCTTAGATGTGTTTACAGCACTTTGAATTTATAATTTTTGAAGAGTTTGGCTACTCTCCATGTTTATGGTAGCATTGAAGTTGTATGTTTGAGTCTTCTGTTTTCTCTTATGTGAGGATGAAGAGGAAGCAGGCTTACTGGAGCTCTTAAAATCCCAGATTTGTGATAATGCTGCACTTTATGCACAAAAATACGATGAAGAATTTCAACGGTACCTGCCTCGTTTTGTCACAGCCATCTGGAATTTACTAGTTACAACAGGTCAAGAGGTTAAATATGATTTGGTAAGATGATGGTGGAGACAAATAATTAAGACATCCCCTCCCTCCCCCATGAAGTAAATGATTCAGTTTGCTCTTAAATATACTTATTTTTGTGTTTTATTCCAGTTGGTAAGTAATGCGATTCAGTTTCTGGCTTCAGTTTGTGAGAGACCTCACTATAAGAATCTCTTTGAGGACCAGAACACGCTGACAAGTATCTGTGAAAAGGTTATTGTGCCTAACATGGAATTTAGAGGTAATTGTGGAAAGCTTTTTCAGGAGATTAGTTAAAAGCTCATTTTTTGAAAGAGAAAATTAGTGTTTAAATTTATGTTAGTATAAAATTAATTTAATTAACATTAAATTAATGTTAGTGTGAATTTAAGAAGTCTTTGTGTTGCTTTTTGTAACAAATTCAGTCTGCGTTTTATTGGATTTAGTATTTTACCAAGGCAAAAGCTATTTTTGAATAGCTGACATGAGACTAGAAGTGATTGATAACTTTTAAGTACAGAATTGAAGCCCATGTAGTTCGTGCTTCAAGATTAAAACAGTCCTAAGAGTATTTGTATCGGATGTCTTTCTTATGAGTAAGAAGAGCAGTCATTAGACCATTCAGTCTGGAACAGAATGAGGAAATAAAAGTGTAACATGGGGTTCTATTTCCTTTCCTTTTCATAAAACCATATTGAAAGGACAGATCTTTATTCTGATACGGTCCTACTTGTTTTGGTGTTGAAGTGACTTTTTTGAAATAATGGTGATGGTAGTGGTTAGGCGGTTGTTTAATGTCTTTACTTGTCAGAATAAAGAGCTGGCCTCCCTGGATTGATCTCCAGCACTTGGGAAGTTGGTGATAAAGTGCAGTTCTATGTACGCTCACATTAGAACAGTGAGCCTGTCTCACAGCTGTGTAAATTGCCTGTTACCTAAGCTTTCCGGCTAGCACTTACTGCTCTAAGAACAATTAATAAGAGTATGTGAAATAGTCACTGGTTGGCAAAGAACACTTGTGGTAAAGCACAGTGGTTCCACATGCTCTTCTGTATACCCAACTGTAAAGCTAGAATGACTTGGCTGTCTTGTAAGAGGTGATCTGAAATGTCATCTGGCTTTTGCAGCTGCTGATGAAGAAGCCTTTGAGGATAATTCTGAGGAGTACATAAGAAGAGATCTGGAAGGATCTGGTATGTTGATTTTTAACTATTGGTCTCTTAGGAGCCAGTGTTAAAAGTAGCTCTTTTTTTGATAGTTATGGGGAAGTAAGGGAGTCAGGATAAGTGTCATTTCAGCTGTCTTTCTCTGGAGACTGTTTTCCTTCTTTAATTTGTGCATGGTAAAAAGTAGCCCTTATATGAGCTATATCAAAGTATCAGATGTTGAATCATTTGTCTTCTCTTTTTTTATATACTTACTAGTATTTATCATACTATGATATTTTAGTTTCATTATCATTTTTTGTTTGTGGGGAGAGAATTTTTTTTCATTGTTTTTTGTTGCTTATAGCTACCAGATGGCAATTTGTTTTCGTATAAACCTGATCAGTTGGTTGATGGTTGCTTCTTTCTCCCATGATGTATTTCCCTTTGATTTTGTAGATATTGATACTAGACGCAGGGCTGCTTGTGATCTAGTTCGAGGATTATGCAAGTTTTTTGAGGGACCCGTGACAGGAATCTTCTCTGGTTATGTTAATTCCATGCTGCAGGAATATGCCAAAAATCCATCTGTCAACTGGAAACACAAAGATGCAGCCATTTACCTGGTGACATCTTTGGCATCGAAAGCCCAAACACAGAAGGTAACTTTTTTCAGTATATTTTTGTTTCCAAAACATAGTTGTCCTTTAGCACGGAAGTAAAAAAGAAGTGATGTATTTCTGGTTATATAGCCTACTCTACTAGATAATGTGTTCTGATTAGAATTCATAGTCTCTAGAAATGACTTTATTTTTTTTTTTTTTCATTTATTTTTATTAGTTGGAGGCTAATTACTTTACATCATTGCAGTGGTTTTTGTCATACATTGAAATGAATTAGCCATGGATTTACATGTTAGAAATGACTTTATATTGATGTATTAATTACATGTTTCTTATAGACCACAGTATAAATGGTACACTTGTTTCTTTAGGTGAGACTCAGTATAGGAGACTTGCTAAGCTTAAATTTAGCTGTTCTTTAATTTAGGGAAGTTTTTTTTTTTTTTAAGTTTCTTTATTATCTATTAAGCCAGTCTTGTTTTATATGTAAGCAGCTTATGTTTTGAAGTATTTATCTTTAACCTGGTTTTCTAAAGCTGCCTAAATTTCCATTGTGGTAGATTTATACAGGTAGTTCATGTTACTGTTATGAATGTTTTTTAGCATGGGATTACACAAGCAAATGAGCTTGTAAACCTGACTGAGTTCTTCGTGAATCACATTCTCCCTGATTTAAAATCAGCTAATGGTGAGTTTTGTGAAATGTTTTTAATACAACTTACAGTGTACCTGTAATTCTTATGTGCACTATTATTTTAAACTACCAAATGAATACTGTCGTGGCTCTATATCTGTATCATTCATGATACTGAAAACGGTGGCTCCTATCCTTGCAGTTACTTCTGTTGGATAAAATTTCAAACGGTTGCCTTAGACCTTGCCAAGGTGAAATTAACTTTCCCTAAAGAAAATGTTGCTTATATAGAAGGAAAATAGGAACAAGTGAGACTGAATTGTCAATCAGTTTTGTTATCCTAATAATTTCACACTAGAAATCATACTTTGGGTTTTGTTTTCCTTCTCATTAAAAAAAAAAAAAGAACTCTTGGGAATTCCCTGGCGGTCAAGTGGTTGGGACTCTGTGCTTCACTGCTGAGGTCCCGGGTTCAATACCTGGTCAGGGAATTAAGATCTCACAACATGGCCAAAAATAAAACTTAAAAAAAAATGAACTCGTAAAAATGAAAGTAAATTTAAAGCACCTGAGACTAATAGATGCTCAGGATACTTTCATATGTTTATAAAAGTATGTTAATCAAGATAGATAGATGTATTGTGGAAATTTAAAATCACTAAACAGTAGGGATAACATAAAGAACTTCCATGTTACTATCATTCAGCTTCAAGAGTTTTTGACAATTGGCCAATATTCTATCCCTTTTGCTAGTTAGTGTACTTCCCACTGCTCGTGTAAGCTCATTTAGAGAGATTTGCTCCTGATTCAGAATAGCTCCAGTTCTGGGAAAAGATACTGTCATTATTTCCCGTGGCCCAAATCATTTTTGTTCAATTATATAAGTAACATATGTTCCTTTGTAGTGAAAATTAAACATAAAGGTGAAAAAAATAAAATTATTCTTAAACTTACCAGAATTAATAGTTGTGTGGTAGATCATTATATAATTAACTAATCTTTAATTACTTGACATTTGCTTACCAGAACCATGTTTTTAAAATCTATATTGTGACTGATTTGAGAGTAACAGTTAAAAAACTGACTTTTTATTTCTTTTAATAGTAAATGAGTTTCCTGTTCTTAAAGCTGATGGCATCAAATACATTATGATTTTTAGGAATCAAGTAAGTAACTTTTCATTTATACGTTACATGCCACTTACTCAAGAGCTTTATTGTATACCAGCTTCTCTTCTCTTCTACTGTGCAGTCATATTTGGTATCCACATCTAACAAAACTAACAATATCTCCTTCAGAACTTAAGATACAAGGCCGTGATTAATTTTTCTTAGTTTCTCAAAAATACTGTTTACACATTGCTTATGGTTGATATGTCTCATGTCCCTTAGTTTACAACAGAGGAGTCCTTCCTCCCCTTTCCTACACCTTTTTTTTTTTTTTTAAGGAAACCAGTCATTTATCTTGTAGAGTTTCTCATTCTGCCTTTGGCTGATTGCATCCTCAGTGGTATAATTTACCTCTTGTTCCTCTGTTCCCTGTATTTCTCATGTGAGGTTAAGAGTGATGATCACATTTTTTATTTGAGGTATAGGTAACTTTAATATAGAATTCACCATTTTTAAATGTATAGTTGTGTGGTTTTTAGTATGTTTATTCTTTTGCACAGCCGACATTACTGCCTCATAGATTAATTAATTACCAATTTGAATGGGGAAAACAGGATACAAGTTTCTGTGTTTTGCCCCGTTATAAGTTCAGAGTAGTGAGTTTGGTGTCTTACCAACCTCCAGAGGACAAATGGGATTTTTCTTTTTTTACTCTCTAGTGCCATCTTTGGCCAGTAGGGACCCCATTATGTAGGGTTTTGTATCTTCTTTTTTTTTTAATTGGAGGATAATTGCTTTATAATATTGTGTTGGTTTCTGCTGTACATCAACATAAATCAGCCATAGGTATACATATGTCCCTTCCTGTGTCTTCTTGACATAAATTTAGTAACTTTTTAGCAGCAGCTTTTCTTTGATAATATGACACTATTTCAGGTTTACCTTGTATATTTCCTGTCCCAGACCTGAGTTTGCTACCCTTGAAGGTGGGAAATGTTATTTAGAGACCATAATCTAGATGCTGGGGAAACTGATTCTATGCTTTTTCATGAAGAGATCCGGGAAATAAATAATACCAATATTATCAACAAAGTAATACTACTGAGTGCCATTTGATTTCTTTGTGTATGTTATATCCTTAGTATATTATCCTATTGGATGGATGGTCAAGAAATAACTGTTTAAAACAACTTGAAATTATTCTGCATTTTTGCCACTAACTTGATAAATAATTAGATTCATACTTGTGGTGTTTTGTTTTTTGGTGGGAGACCTGAGAAAGGTTACTTTACATGCCTCCAAAGTCAGGCAGGGTACATTCAGAAAGGTCTAGCTTTCCTCCCTGTTCCTTCTGTCTTCCTAAAGGTAACCATTTTTTACTGAGTTTTGGTCTGTTTCCATTATTTAATTTTGAAAATATAACCTAAAATTGTCCTATATCTATTTATATATTTCCCGCTCTCCTATACAGAAGAGAGTTTGCCAAACAGTTTTTCTGCGTTTTTTTCTTTTTTGGCTGCACCACATGGCTTGCGGGATCTTAGATATTCTAAAGTTTTAGAAGTTTTTAATGAAGAGTAGTATGCTTATGTTTATGACTCCCCTCTCGCCTTTGTTTTTTAAAGAAGAGAAAATGAGGCACAAAGAGCTTGAGTGATTTTTCTAAGAAACTTGCTAGTGGACAGTATAGTTCCTAAGATGAATTAAATCAGTCTGCTTCTCCATGATTTCTTTTTTACCCTAAAGTCATAGTTTCATGCTCAGAGCTAGATAATTGGTTGGAAAAGTGAATGTGAGTTGAACCATTGCATGGAAGAAGTTTTGATTTCTCACCTGTATCATATCATCTCCATTATAATAGTAGCTGGAAATTAGAATCAGATTCTAACTGATTTTTAAAATTAGGTTCTAACTTTTTAGAGTCAGCAAAGCACTCTCTTCCAGTTGGCTTTTACTCAAAGACGGCATCAGTGAGTTATGGCATATATATTGTTGTCTTTTTCAGGTACCAAAAGAGCATCTTTTAGTCTCTATTCCCCTCTTAATCAATCATCTTCAAGCTGAAAGTATTGTTGTTCATACTTATGCAGCACATGCTCTTGAGAGACTGTTTACTATGAGAGGGCCTAATAGCGCCACTCTGTAAGTATTTGACATGTATATTTTTTCATCTTGGGGTGGAGACCATCAGTACTGGTTAGAGATAGCTCAGTGTAGTCATAATTTCATTAGAAGTTAGAAAAATAAATGTGAATATTTCACTCATTTATACAAATATGTCTCATTCCAAAAGGATTTGAGACCATGCCAGAGTAGCTATGTTATGACAGTAACGTTAAGTGGAGGAGACTGGAGCAAAGGAAAGTAACTGGGGTGTGAGGTTAATAAAGAGAGGTTTGTCAGAGTACAGTATAGTAAGGAAACTCAGGACTTCTTTGTGGAATCCTCTAGCAACCAAGGCAAAGAGAGAAACCTGGTGGGTTAAAATGTCCATAATGTCTGTGAGATTAAAATCAGAATGGTGATTCAGAAGGCGTCTCAGAAGCAGGCCTTAGTTCAGGGAATACTGTGCAGTAGCCCTTTGACCTGGCTCTTCTTGTCATCTGACTCAGTGCTGAGACAAGACAGAGCTGAGTGAAAGTAATTCTCTGGGTGTCAAGGCAGTGGCTCTTGAGGCCCATTGTAAGGATAAAAAGAAGGGGATTGGATGGTCTGAGTGCCTTTCAGACCTTTCTTCAGCAGTGTTATTTCTTGAAAACTGAGCTTTGGGTTAGAGATGGAAAGCATTCTGGGTTCTTTTCTTCATCAAGAACTTGAGGTCCAGATACACTCAGTGGCTAGTTAAGGATTATGGTTATCCTTTGAGGTGAGTTAAGACAGTACTGTCTTCAGGCTCAGAATTTATGCAGAAAAGAGTTCTGAACTTGCTCTACCTCCTGGAAAGCTAGGTGATTGAGAGTCTGAGTTCCGTTCTCAACACTGACGGATATAAACTAGTGATGACCTCAGCAGTTTAGACAATGTTGGGTTTGCCTGGTTTGGGGTTTGTTTAATTGTGATTGGTCTCAGACATGCCTTCTTAGGAACTTAACATGAGTACATGTAAAAGAAATCTTTTCCTAAGCGGCGTACCAATTGTCAGTGGTGGGAGATGGCTCGCTTTATGCCAAGAAGTGTGATTTAGTAGTTGCCAAGGGTATTCCAGAGTGACACTCAAGAGTTGGTGGTGACTGAAAGCTGTTTTTTCATCTATAGCTTTACAGCTGCAGAAATCGCACCGTTTGTTGAGATTCTGCTAACAAACCTTTTCAAAGCTCTCACACTTCCTGGCTCTTCAGAAAATGAATATATTATGAAAGGTAGGCCATTTCCCTGGTATACAGACTCTAAGTATCTAATCTCATAGACTGCAGGGGTGGTCAGCACTGAGTTGTAGTTTAGGTTATGTTGAGAATTTGGTAGGTTTAGATATTTTTAAATGAAAAACACTACTGTTAACAGTGTTTTCAGAGAAAGTTTTACCCTAACTTGATATAGAACTCCTCTTATTAAAGAAACCATTTCAAAAATAAATAAATAAACCGTATCAAACTCCTTTTTTCTTTTCCTTGACTGACACTTGAGGGCAGAGATGAGCTGGGACTGCATTTATTGACAGCATGCTCTGCTAGGTCTGGGTATGAAATCTGGGTGTGTCTGATGGACCCCACACAGATCTGCCTTCATAGACACCACTGCCGAGGAAGCAGGCAGCTAGCTGTAGGCACCTGTGCTGTATTAGGGGAATGTCTTAGTAACAGTTCTGGGACATTCCAAGAGTCCAGCACAGTTTATATGACACATATGAAATGGTTTGGAGAAGGAAATGGCAACCCAGTCCAGTATTCTTGCCTAGGGAATCCTGTGGACAGAGGAGCCTGGTGGGCTGCTGTCCATAGGGTCGTACAGAGGCGAACACAACTGGAGCGACTTAGCAGCAGCAGGAAGTGCTTTTCGAAGAAACTGTTCCCAGTGCCTCTGGCTTGGTCGGTCAGAACCCTTAGGTGGATGGGTGGGTGTGTGTGCATGTATTTCTGTTTGTAAGTGTGTATCTAGGTATATTTGTGTTTTCAGCACTGTATTTCTCCCAACAGTGATGTGTAACTACTGTTGTTTAATGTCCATTTTTTGAGGCAGCCGACTGGTCCGTGGTCTTCATTGCTGTGTTCCTAGGGTGTGCAGGAGCATGTATGTAGTATGGAGCAGCTTCCCAGTAAAGACTGTTGTATGAGTGAATGCAGGGATTCTGTGCCAGCCCAGTGGAGGGACGCTAATCCATCCTGTAACCTCGGCTTTCTAGCAAGTGGTGTCTACGCTGAGCTGCAGGATAGGGAGCAGTTAGCTACTTGGAGGGCGAGCCTTTGGCATCACAGCAGTTTAGGAGGAAAGAGGATGACTTTCTGTCCTGTGTGCCTGGCATATCATAGATGCTGTACTTAGTAACCTTCTATTCCATTTGTGTAGAAACAGCCATTATGTACTTTTAGCCTGATGTATTTATTTCCGCTGCCCAGTGTTTTTTGGGTGTCTGTTAATGAACAGTTAATTTCACAGCATGGGCCCTCTGTCGCTTGCTGTGTATTTCTGGATTTTTCTCACGCTCCTCGTTTCTCTTTTGTGGGAAGATGGGCAGGTGGCCTTCTGTTTCAGCTTGTGGTGGGTTGTGATATTTCCAGTGGGCTGTAGGTAAAATCCCATGCCACTGGTTGCTGGTGAAGGAGACTCCCTTCCACACGCTGCTCCCTGTGTCTGCCTCCTGCTTCACTCACCTCCTCTTTACCCGCCTCTTTAGTCACTTCATTATTTCTTACTGTCCCTTAAGCCTTCTGGAAATAACAAATAAATAAATAGATTTTGTTGCCTGATTTTAGAAAGAAGGGAAACTTTAGATTATTTTTAAATGTAGAGAGCTATCTGAGGGTTGTTTCAGAGTCTTAAAATTTTATTTTATGAATCAGAAGACTCTTCTCCCCCTAAGAAGTGTTATTCTGAGGTTTAACTAAACTGTTTCTGCTCTTGTATTTTACAGCTATCATGAGAAGCTTTTCCCTCCTACAGGAAGCCATAATCCCTTACATCCCTACTCTCATCACTCAGCTCACACGGAAGCTATTAGCTGTTAGTAAGGTAACAGAGCCAGTTTTGAAAGTGCGGTTGCTTTTTAACCTAAATGCTTCAAACTCTTTGAGCCTCAGAACTCCTTGGCAATCAGTCGGACAGGGAAAGATCTATGAATTCTTCCTGACCAGCAGTTAATATATGATTCTGAAAGTGTGGGGTGACATAGATTGGAGACATGGCAGCAGTCACCTCTTAAGTGTAAGCTCAGAAACTTTAAAACGTTTTATTCTCACTTTAAAAAGTAACGTGTTCATTGAAGAGAATTGAGAAAGTACAATCTGAAATAATCTTAGATGGAAGAAGTAGGCTTTGCCCCAAATGGACACAAAAGAGGCTATTCAGATTAATGTCCTTCTTTCTGACTCATTTCCCCCAAAATAAAGTTCACTCCTTCTTTGATCAAAAATTTTACAGATATTTTGATCCGTATTTAAATATTAATACCAAGTTTTAGAAAAGAAAAATCTAAGTCCAATAAAATTCATGTGCAGATGGTTATTGTTAATTATTCTATTAAAAGGAGATGAAGTCCTAGGAAGTATTAGGGAGACTTTGAGAATACTGATCATTTTTCTATTGAATCCTGGGTAAGCGTCTAGGGCCTGCTTGGGTTTTGGGGAATTGAGAGAGAAGAGAGTAAGGTGTCTCCACTTTCACCTGGCCCTGCGCTACACGCTCATCTTCAGTTCCTCAGCTTTATATGGTAGCCTTCAAAAGATTTTGATTGAAAGAGAAAATTGAAAACCGCTGGTTTGAAGGATTGCTGCTGCAGGTGTAGGCATACTGAGGCCTGCAGAGGTTAAGGTTTGCCTGAGGTCCAACACCAGGCCAGAGGCAGGGTCGGGCCCTATGTGTCCCAGTTTATCTCCTTCATCACTGTTACAGTGACGGCACTGGGGGAGCACACACAGGCCTACAAAAGTTCTTCATAAACACTGGGAGTGAGGTTTGTGCAGTCACCTTCCTGTGCCTCTCAAGTATTTCTCATAAGTAGACATTTGCCCGTTAAAAATGAAGTCCATACTGGCATTAGTATTACTATTTCATTTTCTGAACTTTCAAGTCACTATAAAATTTTAACATCTAGGCTTTTTATATAATTGGTGTTTTTCTTCTTAATGTTTTCAGTAAGGTTAAATGTGTTTTAGGTAGTGAATTACATTATTAGACATAAGCTTTTTTTTTTTTTTAATTTCAGAACCCAAGCAAACCTCACTTTAATCACTATATGTTTGAGGCAATATGTTTATCCATAAGAATAACTTGTAAGTCTAACCCTGCTGCTGTTGTAAATTTTGAGGAGGCTTTGTTTCTGGTGTTTACTGAAATTTTACAAAATGATGTACAAGGTAAGTAAAGTTATTTTCTTTCTGGTTGATTAAAAATTATTCAAGTGATAATAAAATGCAATCTGCCTAAGAGATACGTGTCTTTTGTGTCGGGGCCATTAATTCTGAAGCTGAAAGCTGTTTTTACTTTTATCAACAGAATTTATTCCGTATGTCTTTCAAGTGATGTCTTTGCTTCTGGAAACACACAAAAATGACATCCCGTCATCCTACATGGCCTTATTTCCTCATCTCCTTCAGCCAGTGCTTTGGGAAAGAACAGGAAATATTCCTGCTCTAGTGAGGCTTCTCCAGGCATTCTTAGAACGAGGTTCAAATACAATAGCAAGTGCTGCAGCTGACAAAATTGTGAGTCAGATTTATTTTGATATAACTAACTTTTAAGATAACTGAGAAACTAGAGATGGCAGATTCTTTTTAATTTTAAAAATTTCTTAAAATGAACTTACTATAAAGGGAATTAGTAGAAAATGTTAACATACATTTTATTAGAATTAGGTATCCTTTAGTTGTTTATCTCTTTGGTAGAAGCTTAACATTGAGGGCTTATTATTTGGGATTCCCGCCCCCCCCGCCCCCCATACTTCAGAGGTAAGACAGAGAAAATGCTATTTAGATAATTAAAGCATGCACTCTTTTCCAAAACAGATCACCTGTTTAACTTTCAGAATAATCCTTGCCTCTTTAACTAATTATTATTTAATCTAATTTGTTGTAGCCTGGGTTACTAGGTGTCTTCCAGAAGCTGATTGCATCCAAAGCCAATGACCACCAAGGTTTTTATCTTCTAAATAGTATAATAGAGCACATGCCCCCGTGAGTATGAATACAGCTTCATTGTACATTTAATTGAGGATTCCGTTCGGGACTCAGAAAAATGCTGGATTTATTTTGTTGCTTTTTTCTTCAATTCTTTAGCGAGTCAGTTGACCAGTACAGGAAGCAAATCTTCATTCTTCTGTTCCAAAGACTTCAGAATTCCAAAACAACAAAGTTCATCAAGAGTAAGTAAAATCATATGAGTTTTCCTACAGAAGCGTTTCATCATCTATAAATTTTATATATAGAATATTTTAAGGTGCTTCTGTTCTCTAAAACTAAGCCATTTTCAATATACTGTGCTCCAAAGGTTAGCTTGTAAGTTTAAACATCAAAATATTTTTAATAGAAAAATCGTAAAAAATATAAATCAGAGAGACCATATGTAAACCTTTTGTCCCTGTTGGCTCAGATGGTAAAGAATACACCTGCAAATGCAGGAGGTGTGGGTTTGATCCGTGGATCAGGAAGATCCCCTGAAGGAAATAGCAACCCACAGCAGTATTCTTGCCTGGGAAACCCATGGACAGAGGAGCCTGGTGGGCTACAGCCCACGGGTTCGCAGAGTCAGACACGACTGAGCGACTCGTGCTCAGGTGTATTAAAAGGCCAGTATTGATGCCAAACTATTTAGCAGACTTTGACTAAATTGCTTATTTAATGCAGTCCTCTGTATTGATACTCTGCATCTCCTTTCGACAGGTTTCTTAGTCTTTATTAATTTGTATTGTATAAAATACGGGGCGCTAGCACTGCAGGAAATATTTGATGGTATACAACCAAAGTAAGTCTGCTTTTATTATTTATCATCCTGTTTTCAAAAACAAAACATTTGATCTCTCAGTCTCTGTTTTATAGATGTCTGTATAGTTCTTGACACAGTGATAGTATCTTTGTCGTTTCCAAAATATTCTTGTGGGGGGGAGGTTGGGCTGTAAAGAAAATACCTGCAAGCATTTTTCTAATTCCTAAAGGTCCCTGCCCCTACCTGCTGTATTCTTTACAGCCAGGGCTTTATGTTGTGTTAGATGTCTGGCATGTCTCCAGGAGCCTCTCTCTGTTAAGGTCAGCAGTGGTTTTTCAAGTGAGAATAGTTTGGATCAGTGAAATTTTGCTCTTGACTTAGTATATATGCATTAAGAATACAGTTAAGCAGCATTACCCATTTACTAGGGAAGGAAGGCAGTAAAGTAATGATAGAGAATAACTTCTTGGAAAGAACTTTATAGATATCTGTACTGAGTAAAAAATAATTCCCGATTGATTGAAATGCGAAAAAGGAATTAACCTGAGAAGTACCAGAAAATACATTTTCTAGCTATAGGAAGTCATGAGGAGCGGAGCAGTTTCACTAAGTGCTCATGATGCTTAAACTTGCATGGTCTTTCCATAGAGAGAAAATACACGCTTGTCAGAGATCAGAATGTCCATGTGCCTTGATATTTACCATTTCCACTTCAAAGAATTTAATAAGATAAATTCTTAATAACAGAAGTATAAACTTAAGAATTTTATACCATGTAGGATTACGGAAAACTTTAATTCCAGGATGTTTGCAACAATAATCATTGGCCAAATCATTTTTTTAAAATACAGCCTTTAACATTCACATACTTAGAGGTATGTAAGCGTAGAAAGTTGGAAAGTTTATAATCCAAAAAGGTTAAAACTGGTTATTGCTGGATGGTGAGGTGATAGTGATTCTTTTTTCTTCTTGCTTATCTATGCTGATTGTTAGTTTTTCAGATTTCTTGAGTAATCTGAAAAAAAACGTGCAAGATCAAAAAATGGCTCTAAAGATTTTCCTTGAGCGTGGCTTAAGGTGTAGTATTCACAGAAGATGGTGGCAGTTGGTCAGAATAGCAGTTTAATTTTTTTAGATCTCTTCCTTTCTGTTGACCAAAATTAGCAGCCTTTTTTTGTATTTTATTATATTCCTAAGGAGTCACTGAGTGTAAATAAGTTAGACTACTGTAATTAAATATTGAGTGAATTTATTTTGCTTGGATTAACAGAATGTTTGGAATGGTTTTGGAAAAAATCATTATTCCTGAAATTCAGAAAGTATCTGGAAATGTAGAGAAGAAGATCTGTGCTGTTGGGATAACTAAATTACTAACGGAATGTCCCCCGATGATGGACACAGAGTATACCAAACTATGGTAAGTACTCCATTCTGGAGGTCTTGGAAATCCCAGTTTCCTTCCCCTGTGGTAACAAAATTAACCAAGCTGATTCTCTTGGGGGCCAAGAGAATTGGGTTTTGACCTCAGCCTCCTCTGTAGCTACCATCAAATCCACGACATGACTTGTGGATTCTTCTGGACCTAGAAAGATTTTGTTTCCTGATTATTTTTATTTCTTTTGGCCATGCTTAGCAGCATGTAAGATCCTAGTTCCCCCAACCAGCGATCAAAATTGTGCCCCCTGCAGTGGAACCGTGGAGTTTTAACCACTGGACCACCAGGGAAGTTTGGGGGGGAAATCATGGACCCCTTAGAGAGACTGCTGAGAGTCCCTGGTCCCGGTGATCTATAAGGCTTTTACACAGTCACTCCGTTAAACTGTCTTAAGCCTTTAAGAGGAGAAACTAAATAGGCGGAAGGTCTCACATGCTGTGCTTGATGACTCGCTCCTTGATGCTCTGGCTTTTCTTGGCCGCTTGCCTCGCCCTTACAGTTTCAGTCAGGCAGCCTCTTACATCAAATGATCTGACAACTTGAAGCTTATTTCTTCTAACTTAAAACCATTGAATCTCCTCAGTTTGACTTCATACACATGGCCTTCTAACTAGCCTGGGTCACACAGCCAGCACTGAGAGTTCTGGGCAAAGGACATCGGCATGCTGCGACCCAAAGAATTGAAGAATGCTTTCCAGTTAGACAAAATCACTGGTGTCTGTCTTAACCTCAAGGATCCCTTACTCCTCCTGAGACGATGAGTCTATAGTTCCTGTCTCTGAAGACATTGCTGCTTTACTAATAATTTAAGTCTCAGAAGTTCCTTAAATCTTGTCATCTTCCAATCCAGGACTCCTTTACTACAGTCTCTGATTGGCCTATTCGAGTTACCTGAGGATGATACCATTCCTGATGAAGAACATTTCATTGATATAGAAGATACCCCAGGATACCAGACGGCCTTCTCCCAGTTGGCATTTGCTGGGAAGAAGGAGCACGACCCTGTCGGTCAGATGGTGAACAACCCCAAGATTCACCTGGCACAGTCACTGCACAAGCTGTCTACTGCCTGCCCGGGGAGGGTAGGTGCCTTGTTACCTCAAAGAGCTCTCATGTTCTCTAAGCCAATCTGATTCATTCACAGAGCTGTGTGGGCAGGCACTGAAGGTGCCTGTTTTCCTTGTTCAGCACAGTCGACCTCAGGTAGTTACAGGCAAGATCTCTCTCTTTAAGTGATAGGCTCTTTTTTCCTTTATGATGTGCAACTGATTTTAGGAGTAAAGACTTTAAAGTGGAGGATAAAACCCTTTGACTAGAAATGTATTTATTTTGCAGAATGAAGTAATCCTTCCATTTTTAAAATAGAGGTATTAATGTTTTTAAGTGCAACATATTCAGAAATAATGGACCATAGAGTAAACCTAATAATGGTTTTATATTGCATTAGCCAGAAACAGTCTTACAAATTGTCAGAAAATCTATATTTTTGATTGTTTTATTAGGGAAAATTTAGGACATAACTTAGTGTAATAAATACTCATGTTTATTACAGACCTTCACTAAGTAATTTGAGAGCAAGCCTTAGGCATCATGTCTTTCACCATGAGTACTTCATGAGGCATCAGTAACCAACGGGACTTGATTTAAGCAGCCATAATACCACTATCACACTGAACAATGAAACAGTAACTCCTGTGGCTCCACGTTTTAGATCTGTCATCTGTTTCCCATCTGTAGGTCCCCTCAATGGTGAGCACCAGCCTCAATGCAGAAGCGCTCCAGTATCTCCAAGGATACCTTCAGGCGGCTAGTGTGACGCTGCTTTGAACTGCCTTCTTTGAATTGGCTTAGTCCAGAATGGTTTCTGAGGACATCATGTAGACACCTGAGCACAGCTGCATTAAAACAAAGCGTGTTCTTTTTGAACTTGTCCATTAAATGTTGTTTTAAGCTGAACCGTGAGCAGATTAGTTTTGTGTGATCATAAATTGAGTGACTTTGTCAGTTTGCAGCTACAAAGACAAGTATTACTAGCTTAGTGTATGACATTGATTTCAGCATTTGCACTGTACTGTTCTGACAATTCTAAAATTTTGACGGACACTGACTGTGGAGACATTTTTTCTGTTACTGAGTCCTTTTGTTTCGAGGCTGTTGCCATTCGTATTTCTCTTGTCCTTTGTGTTTTTGTCTGTTTCCTTAAGCTTTTACTGAAAATGTGAATAAGCAAAGAAATCACTTGTGTAACTTGCCAAGAAGTGCACATTTCATAGTTTTAAATCTGTAATCAGCAATAAAAAAAAGTCCTAAAATATGTATCTAAGAACATCTTAAGGACAGCTTTTTGGTGCTGATATTTTTATAATGAAGAATTTAAGTTTTTCCTCTCCTGGACTGCATAAAATCCTAATTTCTAAACAATTCACCTTCAGATTACCTAGTCTTTTTTTAATAAGGGAAAGGGAACATCACTGCAGGTTTGAGACTTGTGTGTTAGAGAACTTTGGCAGCGTGAGCCTTGGGAAGTGGTTTCCTCTGGGTTGTGGAGCTGGCAGAACGTTTCCTCCCGAGGCTGTCGGGACTGCTTCAGGCGGTGCCGGTGTTTGCCCCTGTTGCAGTGTCTGTCTGCTCTGCAGATCAGAGGTTCCTTGGAACTTTCTGAACCATGGCATCTGTCTTGGCAAAGACTGCCAGCCTGGCTCCTCCTCCAGGGTTCCGTGGCCTCTGTCTTTAGAGGATAAAGAATCAGACTTACCGACGTGGGGAGGCACAGTTTTTACGAAGGATGCTGGTGTCTGTTTAGTGCAGTTAGACCGGAATCTGATTCTGTACAGATTATGTGGTGGTTTTTTTTTCCCCACCTGACTTGAATGCTTTATTTTCTTCACGTTGGTTTTGTTCTGTTGTTTGAGAGATTTCCAGTTTAATCTAGTTTACTTGTACCTACCAACCTAATTATTTTTGATTTGAGTAGAAATGGAAGCATTAAATCATATTTACTATGTGGCTAAAGTTGTCACTGGCAGATGAATATTGAGATGGCATTGAGATCTGTTTTTAAACTATGAGCATGATCTAGTACAGATGAAGCATCTGAAATGGCAGCGTTGGTGCTGCTTTGGCCCTTGGTGGACCTCTGGTTCTGAGCTTGCCAAAGCTGCTGGGTAACAGCTGAGTGGGTGCTGGCAGGTCACTGTTCTGGAGGACCCTGGTTTCAGCGTCCTCATCAGTCTTCTGAGTTCAAGTTCTGAATTTTTTCCTTCTTCGGTTAAAATGAATCAAAGACCATTTCACTTTGTGACTGCACCTCTTAAAATAGTTCCTGAAGGAAGGCTGGTAGTTGCATTCTTTTACTGTAGCGTAGTTCATGAATATTTTGTTAAATTTTTTTTTTAATGTTTAAAATCGAGATTTCTTACTGCATCCAAGACAGTTTTTATACCTATCTTATAAAAAGTTTAAAGGTGTGTTTTCCAGACGTCTCAGTGACCGTTCCTCAGTGGTGGTGCCAGTTCTCTGGGCGTATGAAGAGCTGGGTTTAAATCACACGTCTGTCACTGAGGCCTTGACCTCCACGGTTCTGTTTCCTCTTCTGAAAAGGGAGACTACCACTACTTATCGTCAGGATGGTTTTAACAAATCAACTTGGAAGTACTTGGGAGAACCTGTAGAGGACTCGTCAGTACAAAGCAGTCAGTTGAGTTGTTGAGGTTGGGGGCAGGAAGACGGGGAGCCCCGGCCTCAGCAAAGCCCTCTTCTCGGGACGGTCCTAGACACGGGGGAAGCGTCCCCTGCTGGACCCAGGGATTCCCCCGCCGTTTGACCGTATCTCCTCGTTTATAAAGGTTTTCCTTTTGGCAGATACAGGAAAATATTCTAACAATTAGAAATCATTCATATTCCTGCCTTCAAGCACTTTTATTCTTTCCTAAGCAAAGTTTAGATCATCCTGTAAATAAACTTTTATATGCTTTTTAGAAAACCCTTTTACCATTTAAAACATTTACTTGGCAAATATAATTTTCAGTGGTTATATACTTTTATCATTTGGATATATCATTACTAAATTATACAATCATTGTTAGGTATGTAGCATTTTTATTTTATAAATCTTGAAGTCGACAACCTTTTAGGCCAATCTTCATCTTTTTCCTGAAGGTGGAATTATTGGGCCAGTTATCCTGTGGGAAAGGTGGTGCCAATTTCTGTCACATGTCCCTGCCCACACTGGGCATTACTTCGTCATTTGTGGGGCACAACGAATCTGGCATTCAGTCAGAATATTAGCTGCATGTGGTAAAAGTCTAATAATAAATAGGGCGTCTAGCTCAGCTGGTAAAGAATGCCTGCAATGTGGGAGACCTGGGTTGGGAAGATCCCCAGGAGGAGGGCATGGCAACCCACCCCAGTATCCTTGCCTGGAAAGTCCCATGGACAGAGGAGCCTGGCGGGCTACAGTCCACGGGGTCACAGGGTGGGCCACGACTGAAGCGTCTTAGCACACATGCAGTCTGTTAACAAAGGTGTGATTTGTGAGGCAAACACCAGCAATGTTGGCAGTCTCTCCACCCTGTTGGATTGTGATCTTTTACTCCATTTCAGAAAACCTGAGTGTTAGCTCTGCAACCGAACTCTTAATTATTCCTTGCTCTCTGCTCCTTGGTTGAGAAACATGACCTACATGTGTCATGTGCAACAATGCAAGATGGGTTTGGGTCCACCCTGGTGTGTTCTTGGTAGGAGCATTGAAATCCAGTGAAAAGAATGTACAAGGCAGTTTCCTGTGGGTCCTCTCTCTGAGCTAAGAATGCGGTGATAGACAAACACGCTGCCCCTGGGCAGGCAGCCACCCTCATCCACCCACCCTTCTCTAGGGTTGCTGTGTGATAGAGGAGACTTTTTTAAAAGTTAGAAAAGTCCACTTTCTCCCTCTAATAAAGTGGATGATGTGAGAGCAAAACGTGGCAACACGGAAGGAAGAGCAGAGCAGCCACTGTAGACGGGTCAGGGAAAAGCTGCTCAGACCCGACAATGGGAGGACTGGAGAGGTGGCGAGCAAAAGGAGGGGTTTACTTTGTACTGGAAGAGGGTCCGGCTCCTTGAAAGCAGTTGAGTCAACCCTTCAGAGTCTAGAGAGGGAAATGCTGCTCCAGGAAACTGGGTTTCTCAGATGTTCCTAAGACAACAGATCCTAAAGGGTCTCCAGGTGGGTCCGCAGAGCAGCGGGGAGGAACCTAGCTCCCACCAGGTCCCACCACTCAAAGACAGCGGAGCTGGGTGTCCTCGGAAGGCCCACAGCCCCACTCAGCCGTAGCTGAGCTGAAGCCAGCCCCAGTCATGACGGTAGATCTCGAGCTGCAGTGAGTCCTTGCAGAGAAACCTTCCCAACGAGAAGCCGGGGTGAGGGCTGGGGGCAACAAACGAATGAGGCCGACTGCCACAGGCTGAGCATTCCAAACCCCCGTCCTAACAGGCGGCTGAGAACACGGCCTCCCGTTCCAAGGACAGACAGGCTGGGACAGTGGCCTGCGGAGCCCACAACAGTGAGGCCAAAGCCATCTGCCCTGTTTAATCATTTGTGTTTTCATATCAGGATAAAAATCACTAGCAGTCATGGTCTTGCTGCTCAGGACGCTAGTTCTAAAAGTACCTCTACATTACCTGGGACCTTATTAGAAACGCGTTCTCAACCCCAGACCTACTGCAACAGAAATCTCAGCCTCGAAACAGTCTCCCCAGGGAGTGGATGCTCATGCCCAAGCAGCTGAACAAGGACTGGATGAAGTAAAGTAAAAGTGAATCAGAAAGACACGGCGTGGCAAAAGCTATGGACACAGAGTCAACATTTTATGGCCTCAAAAGGGAGAAGGGATCATACTTCAAAGATAGGGAATGAACAGCTTCAGTTTTGCATGAAGGGTGGCAGACAGAGCCGAAGGCCTTGGGGCCTCTTCCAGAAGTCATCCGTTCCCTCCCACTGAGCTGAGACGGACAGGAACTCTTGCTCTCGTGGCCCTGTTTCTTGGGAGAGGCTCAGAAGTGGATGAGGGTCTGTGTCCCTGAGAAGAGCTCTGAGCGCGGGAAAGGACAGAATGAGGGAGTGCCTGGGAGGAGGCAGGAAGGCTCCGAGCGTCCAGCAGGGAGTCGGCCGATGCCTCAGCCCCCAAGCAGGGACTCTCAGAAACAGCGTCAGCGCCTGGGCTGCAGGAACAGTGGAAGGTGCTGACTAAGCAGCACCAGCCCTGCACACTGGGGAGCTGCTTCCGGGTCAGTGTCCACCCGTTACACCTTGGTCCTTCACGAGGTCATCTAGTTACAGGCCCTCTTCACAGCACAGAAGACTTAGCCACACAGAACCACCATCCCCCGGGCTGTTCCTCATCCGGGGCCTCGGCTGAGGGGAGCGATGACAAACCACTGCAGAAAGAGCCGGGCGGGGTCTGGGCCCACTCGGGTGGGGGATCTCGGACGGACACACACAACCGGCTGCCAACACAGCCGAGGCCTCGCCACCACCGCCCCCCACCCCCCTTGGCCATCCACCTTCCGGAAGTCACGGTCCTGGGCTGTGGAAGGTCTGAGCGTTCCCAGGTGTCTTAGCCGGATTCAGCCTGGTTTACACTGTTCGTTGTGACCCACAAGGAGCCAGTCGACAAAATTATCATCACGGTCCGGAGAAGCGTTTTCAGGTACGCGTTCTGAATCCACCAGGTGAGCATACGCTCGGCACACAGGACAGACACATCAGGCAGACAGACCCAGGCCGGGGAGTGTGCACAGAAAAACGAAGGCCCGGGGGAATCCTAGGCCACTTCCTGCGGAGACTTTGGCAGCTGGAGCCAATACACAGTTGAGAAATCAGCCAAGGGACTTACCTGGTGGTCCAGTGGTTAAGACCCCAACTTGCCGTGTAGGGGACACAGGGTCGATCCCTGGTTGGGGAACTAAGACCCCACAGGCCCAGGAGCAACTAAGCCCGCAACTAAGCCAGAACCAGAGAGTCCAAACGCTGCAATGAAAGATCCTGCACCACCCAACGCAGCCAAATAAAACACACACACGGCAGGGAAGGCTGAAGAACGCCGAGGTGCCAAAGGCATCAGTACAAACGCGTGGCTTTTAAACAGATGCATGACTCGGCAGGCGCTCTCCTAGCTGCCTCCTAGGAGGCAGATGCTCTCCTAGCTGTCCACGGGGCCTCGACCCAACAGCCCGCTAGCAACAAGCTCCACACGCCCCTCGCTGGCAGCTCTGCCCCCAGCACCACGCTTCATGCCCTCACACCTTCCCTTACTTCTTCAGTTACTGCTCGACAGGACCAAACGTTCATTAGTAGCTGTTTATTGATCAATGGTTTTGATATAAAGTTATTTCAGATCTTCAGAATTTTGCCCAAATGGAATCACAAGCATTACAAAGTTTTTCTCTTAAAAATAAACAAGGGATTGGGGGCAGGTTGGGAGGGACCAACCTAGTAGTAGTGGCATTTGAGAATAAATTAACAAAAAAAAAATTTAGTATTACCATTTATTGGTGACAAACACTAAGTTTTACTTACATTCCATGGGGAGAAAAAATTCCAGCGTAAACAATGAATCCAAGCAGTACTTAACTCGCAAGGCTACCGTGCTTGTCTGGGCCGTTACGCGGGACCTCACCGCACTCATGTCTGTGCAGAGCAACACGACATCAGAAGCAACAGAGTTACAGAGAGAAACATGGGTCGTTCTTTTCAGCCCTCCATGGAGATGTAATCAACAGTATAAAGCACTCAAGGAAAACCAATCTGCAGGTGTATATGTGCTACATGGAGACCATATCCTGTAGTGTAGTGAGAGCTATGTGTCCTCAAGAGTTGTATTATATACACACAATTTAATAATCTTTAAAACAAAGATCAAAGTTCATTTAAATCCTGGTGCATTAATGAAAAATAAAATAGAAAAGGAACCAAATGATCGGTTAAAGTTTAAAATTCCTAAGTTGTCCAATTTATACCACTGTGGGAGACTTCGTCAAGGCCAGGACTGTTTCAGCTAAACCAGACGGCACACAATTTGCATCACTGAAATGGTCCTGGCTTAAGTCCAATGAAATAAAAATGTATAACCACATACACATGGATATGATCTTTGCCGGTTAGATTACTGATAAAGTCAGTCTTAGACAAGTTTCTAATCTGTGCTATGTAACTAGATACAATTGAGAAACTCTCAAATGAAAATTTATATAGTGTCATTTCAATCAAAAGAAACTAATGAAACTAAGAATACATCTCTCTTCTGGAAGAGAGCAGTGGTGTGTGGGTACCGCGGGAGGTGTGGGCCGGAGCGCGCTGAGAAGCTCAGCTCCGGCCCGGCAGGAAGCGTGTGTGATTTTCTCCGGTGCTCCCAGCCCAGGAGCAGGCGGAGGCCTCGCAGCGCGGTGTCCAGGGTTTCCCCAAGTGTTCTGAGTGAGCCAGTCTGAGAAGGGGCGGTGCCTTCTGCTGCTTCTTTCGCACGGCAAGAAAAAAATAAAAAACACCCAAAACAAACAAACAAAAGAACCCCACCAAAACCAACACTCGGGTGCCTCGGGCATGGGCCTGCGGTTTCCCAAGGGAGCCGGGGTGGCTGTGAGCCGCCCAGCCCCTGCAGCCGCCACCTCCTTGGGTCCCACCGTCTTCACCACTGCCGTCTCCAGGCCTTTACCCATCGTGTCTCTCGGCCCACTGGAGGTATCAGAAATTCCAAATTTTCAAAGCAGTTTCAGCATTTTCAGTATATATGTTGGGATTTTTCAATGATTCATGGCCAGGTAAAGTTCAGCACCTCCCACACCTTTAAGGAAGAAAAACATGAAAATGATCTAAGTTTTAAAATTTAAGAGAATTAAGCCCAGTCATGTTAAAAATGGAACTAGCAGATATCAAGAAGCCTGCTAGTTCAGGCCCTAGTTTATGATAACTGATATACACTGGGGGCTGGGGGCGCTTCCCTGGTAAAGAATCCGCCTGCAGTGCCGGAGGCCCGGGTTTGATCCCTGGGTTGGGAAGATCCCCTGGAGACGGGATAGGCTGCCCACTCCAGTGTTCTGGCCTGGAGAATTCCATGGACTGTATAGTCTGTAGGGTCGCAAAGAGTCGGATATGACTGAGCGACTAACACAATCGAGTGAAAACAGCAAAGGAGAGAATGGGGAGATAGGATGTTATCTCTGGGGGGTGGGGGGGGGAGGAAAATCAGGAAAGAAATGTATTTGCATTAAAACAATACACAGGAAACTAACCCAGAGAATGGTGTGGCTGGACTGCACGAGGGCGACACTGATCACCGTGGATGCCTTTTAGGGTGACTGTGACTCGCACCACGTGACTGTGTTACCTAGTCAAATATTTTTTTTTTAAAGGTAGCACTCTCTGCCCGAAACTCGGAAACCTTTCAGGGGAAAGGGACAGAAAGTGACTAGTCAACAGGTGTTTCACTCCTAAGCTGAGCAGACAATTTGAATTTAATGCAAATGAGGAAGAGAACTGCCTTTCCATGTAAATCAGCTCACTCACACAGACATTGGTCCATTTCCTGTCCTTGGCATCTCTGTATTCTGTTGGTCCAACTCAGACAGCAACTTTAAAATGTTCAGCGCAGCCTAGTGAGGAGGGAAAGTCAGGGTCAAACCATGGCCGTGCTCGGGGCCACAGTGCGCGACACCCACGGCGGCCTGGGGGCTTCTACCGCCAACAAAGTGCATGGGCCCACTGAGCACCCCTCTCACGCTTGCATTTCTAATTAGAAACACAAATTAAAAAGGTTATCCATGGTTATCTCACTGAATCACACCCTCTGTTAATTTTATTATGTATTACATTACAATATTTTCATCCTGTGGTCACCAGACTACAAATTTTATATCCCCACTTTAATGTAAAACCTATGTTTCTGTGTTAGCATTAGAATACATTCCCCTCAGTGACATATAATGAATGCATTATATTCTATCAGATGAATATACCATAGTTTATGTCTATTAATTTAATCAATTCCTTTTCTTGGTTTTAGTATTTCTTAACGTAACAATTTCATCTGAACAGAACATTAAAATGAGAAGCTTTCCAAGCTGCTGGAACTTGGGGATGCAATTCCTTGTTCTGGTCAGAGGTGAAATGAATACAGTATCTGGAGCCTTTCAGGATCTGAGTCCCCCTCAGATCAGCAAGGGAAGGCGGGAGAGGGTAGGCCAAAGCCCATGAGTTCTGATAAACAGATGAGACATCACGCCAGTAATCTAGAAGTCTTCAGAGATATGAACTCTACAGAGCAGTCCACTGTCCCACAGTCTGCGGAGAACCCTCTCCCTGAGGCCAGCAGCAAGCGGGGGACGTACCATGTCGTGGCAGGACTCCACGTCCTTCCCGATACCGTGGCTGATCAGGGGCGGCTGAGAGGAGCAGTTGATAAGAGATACAAATTCGTTCTTGTTGTTTTTGGGGAAGTCTTTGTATTCAACCTACAAAGGAAAAGAGAGCTGAGGCAGGGACGGGGCGAGGAGAGGAGGTCGAGGGGGCGCAGGGCCATGGCTCTGGCTCTGTGTCCCCGTCTCAGCGCGGAGTGTGCACACCAGCTCCTGCTCTGCGGGCACAAAAGGCCACCGTGGGGCCTGCTGTGAAGGAGCAGGCATGATGCCAGAGCCCCAGCTTCCAGAATCTCCCAAGAACCTAGACATCTACTCAAAAACCCTGGTCTGGAAGCTGTGTCCTTTCCTTGCAGGCAGAAAGGGCCAGCACAACACAGCTGTTCTCACTGCAGTCTAAACTTGTAACGACCACTAGATTAGAGGCTTCATTATGATGGTTGCCCTGGAATTTTAAAATTCACCAAAGGTTGAGAATATTCTTACTGTCCAGGGTTCTAACACTTCCCATGCCTCCTCCCTCCCTCAGAATCACCCTTAACACTTCCCATGCCTCCTCCCTCCCTCAGAATCACCCTTCACCAGGCTTCACCTGGGCTTCACCCCAACCACCCACCCAGACAAAGAGCTTGCTTTAAAAAACAAGGTGCTTCATTCCCAGAGAAACCAGAGAGGACCGCGCTGAGGTACAGACAGCCCAGCCCGAGCCAAACGGTTACCTGGAATCCCTGGACTGTGGAGAGATAGTCCAGCTGCTCAGAGGGTCTCGTCAGAGGTCCGTGGGGTGCGTGGCCTGAAGAGATGTTACTCTTTAAAATGGTCTCGGCTGTAGGCGAGGTGCCCCCATACAACAGTTCTCGGGCTATCATGGCAGTTACCGTGGCCTTGGCAGGATTCGGAGCTACCCTGGCGAAATCTTTGGTGTGATGTCCTTGACTGACTCCCACTGCCTGGGCAACCTCGGGCACCATGGGGAGGATCCCAGCAGGCAGCTGCTGATGACTAAGGTAAGGCATCCTAAACTCATCCTCTTTACTGCCTGGGGAGGGACACAGACAAATCAACGCAAGTCCAAATGCACTGCCTGGAAAAATGTTACAAAGCCCCACCCTGGCCCTCCCTCAGCACAGCACGGGGGGACACAGTGGAGCCAAACACCAAGCTCTGTAACTCGCTCACCAGGCACCTGCTACCACCAGGAACCACGCAAAGACCAGAAGCATATTCAGATCAGGACAGTGTTAATATCACACTTACTAGTCCCATTTTCATCCCCAGAGCCAGGTTCAAAAAAGGTTACTTTTCTTCCATCCCCTGGTTTCTTTATAGGTGTCTTAAAAAAAAAAAAAAAAAAAGGCCATGAGCATCAATGAAACCATTCAAAAATTAGTTCTTCCTGTCCAAAACTACACAAACACCAACTGGCAATTCTTGGTTTATTAACTTTTAAATAAGAGGGCACAGGCAGGAAGGCCTGTGCAACACGACCCCCGGCAGAGCCCCGCCTCCTCCCCAGGCCCACACGCAGCCACGTCCGCCTGCCCGTGAAGAGCATCTAAGAGAGGGGCCTCTGCTCTGCACTCACAAGAGAAGAGGGGAACGTTTAACCAGGAAGCGCCGGAAGATGTCATACTGATGGAGCTGACCAAGAAACTTTTAGGTTGATGCTAAACAATTAAATAAAGACTATTTCCGGGAGTACATGTCCAACTAAAGGATAAGTTGACAAATCAAAGGTGGAAAATATTACACGATAAAAATTATGCCGAACACAGCAGTCCCCTTTCTGGGAAGATAAAGGTGCCTATGATGCCCTGTAAGGTTCTGGAATGGAAACCCCCAAAGCCAAGTCCAGGATCTCTGCAGATTCTCTGGTGAGTGCTTGGGATCCCAGTTACTAACTATGTGGCCACAGCTGATGCCATCCGTCTGTCTGTGCTGACAGCACTGGCCAACAGAACTGAATCAGTCCTGGTATTTTCAAGTTTATTCCAAAAGGACCATCCAGCATCTGGAAACAAGGTCAGCCACGGCTTCTGTTGCGGGTCCTGCTTACCAACCTCGGCAGAAGTGCAATTTTCAACACGGGATCATTTCTATCTAATGTTCAGTTCATAATGAAAAAGAAACCGCAAACTGAGACGATGGCTTGGCCCAGGATCTGACATCACACTATCCCCATGTCCCAGGAAAACCAAAGCCTGTTCTAGAATTAACAAAAGCCTAAGGTTGATGAGTCATTTATGGAGGCCTCATTCTAAGAGCACAAATGACAGAATCACACACTGGTTTGGAGCAAGCTGGCCTCCAGCAAAGCATCCCAGACCACAAAGACACTGGAACAGTAACGACCTAACCCAGCGCCATGCCTGGAGCCACGGACGTGCGCCCGCTTCTGAGCACAGTGTAAGGTGCAGCAGGTGAGACCCTGCTCCGCAGGGCTGCTTACGGCCGGGGGGTCAGCCGTGCCCTGAAGCTCAGCCCCGGGGGAGCCAGAGTGCCCCGGGTGGTAAGAAGGGCATCTTGCAGTGGGAGCAAGGACACCGAGCCCGAGGGCGCACCTTCTCCTCCGACTTGAGGGCTGGTTTGGAGGGCTGAGACTGTGGGACTTTGAAACCGAGGATCTCCAGCATGTTTTCGGCTGCGTTGCGTTTGGCCACTTTCTTGTTGGTGCCTGAGCCCTCTGCCGCGTGGTTTCCCACCTTCACCTGCAGAAGAAGACAGGACTCGGATCAGTGCTCAAGCCTTCAGAATAAAGACCCGCCAGGAACGGAAAAGAGCCCAGAACGATCAGAAACTGGAAGGCTGCGCGGTGCTGCCCTGGAGCTGGTTTGCAGCAGCCCACGAGAGCGCATCATGAAATACTGAGAAATTTGTTGGCGAGCTGGTGGTTAAAGGTAGTTATTACTAAACTAATTATATAAGCTTATAATTAAATTACTTTAACCAACAGAGATAATGAATACTTAAAATGCATCACTTCCTAGCTGGACTCCACTTTAAAAGAATCTACACTCTTGAGGTTCTTTATACTTGCGCTATGTATTTGCTGTCCACTTGAGGCAACACAGCTCTCTCCTGCTCAGAGGGAGCACTCACACCAGACCCTGGCAATACTACTTCTCAAGGATTAAGTTACTCTGCTGATTTACCTCTTCTTTTTTTTTAACTATCTAAAAAAACAATTTTTTTTTTATTGCGTTATAATCCACATACCATACGATTCGCTTCCTTTACTTGCACAATTCAATGATTTCTGGTATAGTGACAGAACTGTGTAACTGTCACTACAGGCATGGGTGTTTTCTTAGACGTAAGTGATAGTTAACAATGCAGATTAAGCTTTACAGTGTCATCAAGCCTGCAGCCATGATGTAACCAGCACAGCAAACTGAAACTTCCAGTCTTGGAAAATTATCTGATACAGCAAAGAAGCTGTTCGTACTGTTTCTGGGAGTTAAGTTTTGATATGTCTTTGCTGTTAATGTAAATAAAAACAGCAGTCAGGATTCACGCTAGTAGCAGTCACTCAACAATGACATGAGCAAACCTCCCTGCTGGACCGGAAAGGAATAAAGAATTCACACGAGTCTCATTTTGTGACACTGCTACAGGTGACTGCCACGCTGAAGTCACAGACACAGGAAATGTGCAAGAGGGTATTACACAGTCCCTGTAAACTGTGTGCTATACTTCCTACCAGTAAACTCCATCACACACACACGTACAGTCTCCACACACCCCCTCCCTCCCAGCACACTGCCTCCCCTGAGAGCTGCTGCTAAGCACGCCAGCACACGTCACGGCTCACCACCCCTCCAAGCTGGTCGTGTTGTCGCTGTCTGTTAGTCACTCAGTCATGTCTGACTGTGACCCCATGGGCTGCAGCCTGCCAGGGGTCCTCTCCATGAGATTCTCTAGGTGAGAATAGTGGAATGGGTTGCCACTTCCTTCGCCAGAGAATCTTCCCGACCCAGGGATTCAACCTGCATCTCCTGCACTGGCAGGCCGATTCTTTACCACTGAGCCACCTGGGAAGCTGGTCTTGATGACAGACCAAAACCAAAAGCTTCGTGTCACAAAAGTCAAGGAAACCCTGGCCTGTGAAGAGAGGTGTGAGGTTGAATCCCAACCTGGCATCCACCAGCCATCTGATCCTGGGCAAATTACTGGGCCTCTCCACAAGCTTCAGTTCTCTCTTGTACGTGGAAGGATCATTCCTCTTCCTCCCCTGACGGTGGAGGGAGACACCAGGATAACTGCTGGTGCTCTATAAGCTCTACACTGCTGCACAGTTTCCTGTTTTTCACCAGAAAGCACTATGAAATTCCCATCACAAATTCAACTGCCTGTACGAGCAGCTGTTCCCTCTGCACAACCTGCAGTGTAACCCCAGTCCATGGACTCCAGACCCTATGGAAGGATCAGGAGGAGCAGGAACAGATCCTTTACACAGTTTATAAGACAATATAAACCTCTGAGGGATAACAGAAGAAACAGGCGCCTTCCTGCTGACACTGCAGCCCGGGCGCCGTGCAGCACGCGATAAGGCATCAAGTTATGGCACAAGCAGCATGATCTCAGTGACATGTGCTGGCGGGGCGAGGCACCGGGCTCAGCCTGCTGAGGGAGGGCCTGGCCCTGGCCCGCCTCTGGCTGAGACGGGAGGATGCCGGAGCCCGGCCAGCCCACCTGCATGACAAACTCCCTGCGTCGTGGGAGGCCCCGCTCGGCGAGCAGCACATACTCCGGCTCCTTCTCCTTCTTCGCCTGCTGGATCTGGGCAAGCCTGCTGATCGGGTTCATCCCCTGGCCATAGTCGGGGCCGCTCTGCAGCTGAGGAACAATCAGGGTAGAAACCACGTGCTGAGTTAGTCACAGAAAGGACCCTGCCAATTCAGACACCGGGACATGACCGCTGAATACGTCTATGTTCATCTAATGGCTCAGAATTAATCACATCTTTTTTAAACCTTTTTTTTTCATTGAAAGATGCCTCAATGATTTTGATTGCTCTGAGGTGATTTTAGGTCTTCTTAGCAAACCAACATCACCATTCATTATGAGCAGGCAAGCATCGTCGTAATGTCTGCTTTTGAACAATAAATATCAATGGATGATAATAAATGAAGAGGTAGAAAATTTAACAAACTCTTCCTAAAACTACCCCAAAGCCTGCATTATCAGGATGGGTTTCCAGCTTTCTTAACGATGACTCAAAATCCAGAAATCATTTATATATTTATATATAAATGTGGAAATGCTGACGCCGTGTGGAAAGAACCTAAAATTCCCACAGGGAATCCTCATCTGCTCACTGGTAACACCCACCGGAGGAGACATTAAGTGGACAAAGGAAACTGCCGCAGTGTGCTAACTTTCCTATGCAGTGCAGTGTTAAGTTGTGTGTGAGAAAAACTTGTATTCTGACAGAACATGAAACTATATGGACAATCAGAACAAACAGATCCTGGCATTCCTAACTGTCCCAAAATGGAATCCCTCCCTTCTCTGGGAGGATGGGGGATAGTATAATTTCTGAATGGTCCATGAGCATGACTCAAGAACCCAGAAGGTGCATGGGTCTTGACTCCTGGCCCGCCCCAGACACCCCTCTGCCCAGGAGTCTCCCGCACACTCAGAACCGTGCAGCGGGCGCGAGACAGGCAGCTGGGGCTCCTCTCCCCGCAGATGACCGCAGCTCCTCGCAGGGACCACACCTGGGGCCTCCGCCAGGCCCGGCACCTGCCTGACCCGGGGCTCCCGGGAGCGGCACCAGGCGGCCCTGTAAGGACTCGTGGAGGCGGGTGTGTGTGCAGGCCAGCACCCCGCCTCTCTCACCAACCTTCCAAACCCCCAGCTGTCTTCGGGCAATGGAAATGCCCTCTTCTTTCAGGCACATTCTTACCCTGACTATGGATTTTGTTTTCTTTTTGATTCTAGGCTTCACCCGCTCCACTGTAGGCAGGGGTGGTAACTTCTTCAGCTCCTCGAGAACAGCTATAGCAGCGTTTTTCTTTGAAATCTTCTTGCTCTTCCCTTCACCTTCCCCCACAAACTCCCCAACCGACACCCTGGTCACAAAGCTCTTCATGTGGGGTGGGCCGCTCTCCCGGGCAACCTGTTTTGGAGGGAAAGACTGAGTGAAAGCGTGACAGACACGCATTACCGGCTGCGAGGCACACTGCTCAGTGTGAAACCCAGGGAAAGGGCGATTAAGGCCAAGACTCAGTAAATGAAGGCAGTGTCAATGTGGGGAATTCTGAATGCTTTTTTCCCCCCTTTTCTTTCTTTCCCCTACTTGTTAAAGTTCTCAGGTCTGATGAGTCCAGAAGAGCCATGGAACAGGGTGCCATTTTCTGTGCCCACCACCCAGGGTCACAGACGGTCCTGAGTTTGGCATGCTCCCCTGCAAATGCCAGCAAGGCAGCCAGCCCAGCAAAGCCCAGAAATAAATGCAGCACCAAGAGTTCAAGTTTAATGTTTGCTCTGAGCTGCCAGCCAAGACTGAGCTTATTAAATACTGGCTGCTCTGAGCTATAAAAAGAAATGAGAAAATCTCCAAACACGTAAAGTGATTTCTAGCACTTGGTAAGTAAAGAAAGCAAACTGCAAAGAGTGTTAAAAAAAAAACGGTGCAGAGTATTAAATCTACATACACATACACACACACATAAATAGACACACGTATGTGTTTATATGCTTCTTTTTTTGCAAAAGGAAACTCAGGAAGGATAAAGCACAAACCAATGGAATTAAACAGTTTCCTACAGTAGGTGGGGGGAAGGACTGAGGTAGCGGAACAAGGGGGCACTTCTGAGTATCTTTTTGTGTAGTTTTGACACTTTGGACCATTTGCTGTTATACATATTTAAAATATAAGTCAAAAGAAATGGGGGAAATACTACAATGGATTATGAACAGAAACCTAACTGTATATTATAATCACACAGAAGGAAGATAAAAATCAAATCCAACCTACATTAGGAAAGATACCCTTGAAAAGAACAACTGAGTCGGCAGACTTAAAATGCCAGACTTCAAGACTTCCTGTAGTTACAGAATCTGTGAGATCACGGTATTGTTTAGCAATAAACCAACAGATCAATAAAACAGAATGCAGAAACAGACCTGCACATATACAGCCGCAAACACAAACCAAAGCAAAAGCAATGGCATTCTCTTTTTTTTAATGGCATTGGAGCAACTAGATAACCAAGATCTCAAATTCTACCCAAAACAAAAATTAAGCTAAAACACCCAAATATGAAATATAAATATGAAATATAAATATGAAATATAAAGCTTTAGGAAGAAAACATAAGAGAAAACTTCATGACCATGAGGCTGGCAAAGAATTCTTGGACACAAAAAACACAAACCATAAAGTAAAATTAGAATTCCTCAAAATTAAAATACTGCTCATCAAAAGATAACATTTAAAAAGTAAAAAAGGGGGAGTTTGGGGGAGCATGGATACATATGTACGTATGGCTGAGTCCCTCTGCTGTTTACCTGAAACCACCACCGCATTGTTAACTGCCTGTATACCCCAACATAAAACAAACAGTTTAAAATCTGGGGGGAAAGAAAGGTAAAAAAGGGAACTCAGAGTATGGGAGAGAATATTTGCAATATATGTACCAAACAAAAGAATTATACCCAGAACACTGAAAGAAATCCTACAAGTCAATAATAAAAAGACAAATACTCAATTAAAAAAATACTTCAACAGGTACTCTTGGCAAGGATAGGGAGCAAGTGGTAGAAGTGTAAACTGGTACAATCACTTTGGGAAATAGTTTGACAATTTTTACATGAACACCTACCCTCTGACTTAGCAACTCTGACTGCACATGCACCCAAGACGACTTAGCACCCTTCTTTATAGTAGTTCTCAACTATCCAATGTCCATTAGTGGAACAATGGACACATTCCATTCCATTCATACAGTGGAATACCACTCAGCATTAAACTACTAAAACCTATAGATGGGACTTAACAACAAACAATCCATACTATATTTACATGAAGTCTAAGAACACAGAAAACAAACCTACAGAGGCTGCAGAAAGCAGCTGCTTCTGGGTGGAATGGGGCACAGGGACTTAGGTTATGATAAAGTTCCGTATCTTTATCTGGATAGTGAATCATGGGTTTTTACACATGCTAAAATTTAGTGGGCTGTGCACTTAAGATACCTATATTCACTATATAATAGACTGTTAGCACAGAGGAAGAATAATCCAAGAAGTCACGAAAGCAATGCTCTGAAAGGATACACCTTCAGTGTGAAGCTAAAAAGTGTGGAGATAACTTAGACTTTACTTAGGATGTTTGCTGTTGAAGGTGTGGATAAATATATTGATGTTGTTGGGAGCCCAAGTCTCATGATGGGAACAGACCCAAACATGGAGGCATGAAACAGAGGAAGAGCCCTGTGATGACAGACTGAAATTAGAGGGATGAACTTGTGGTTCTGTAAACAGTGTACCTACCTCCTAGTGCTATCTTCTGCTAACAGGGTCTGGAAGCAACGACTTGCAGCAGCAACAAGCCAGCCTCCCCTCAGCCCGGCCCCTACATGCCACTCTGTTAAAGGGAACCACAACTCCTCGAAAGAACAGCTGAGACCATCTGTATTAGAATTTCCGTTTCTGCCAGGGCCAAAGTTAGAACAAGGAACCTTCCAAGTAAGGCGAAAAGACTGCTGTATCACAAAGGAAGGAAGGTCTCTCAATCAGAAAAGGGGAGCTGAGAGCCAGGACACGGGGACAATAAGACCTCCAAATACAAAACACAAAAGAAAAAAAAACCTTGCCTATTACCTCACGAGTACATAAAAAACTTATAAGTCAAAATGAAACAAATCTAAACTTAAGAGACAAAACTTCTAGAAGAAAACAAAAGAGAACGACCTTAGATTTGGCAAATTATCTCAGATGGATTACAATCACCATGAACCAATTAACAAACCTGACCTCTCCAAAATTAAATTATTTTTGCTTTTTGGAAGATACTGTTTAAAAATGAAAAGACAAGCCACAGACTGGGAGAAAATATCTGGAAAATACCTAACTGAGAAAAGAACTGTATTCAGAATATATAAAGAACACATAAAATCCAATAATAAAACATAACTCAAAAACAGGACAAAAGATAAGAACAGACACTTCTCCAAAGATGTACAGATGGTAAATAGGCGTATGAAAACATGCTCAATATTGCTAGTATGCATGGAGATACAAATTTAAACCATAAGTTACGACTACACCAACTAGAAACCGACCCTATTAAGTGTTAGAGAGGGTACAGAACAACTAAAGCTCTCATACACGGTGAGTGCTGCGCTTTTAAGTAGCTCAGTCATGTCTTGACTCTTTGCGACTCCATGGACTGTAGCCCACCAGGCTCCCCTGTCCACGGGGATTCTCCAGCCAAGAATACTGGAGTGGGTTGCCATTTCTTTCTCCAGAGGCTCTTCCCAACCCAGGGATTGAACCCAGGTCTCCTGCATTGCAGGTGGATTCTTTATCAGTTGAGCTACAAGGGAAGCCCAAGAATACTGGAATGGGTAGTCTATCCCTTTCCAGCAGATCTTCCCGACCCAGGACTCGAACTGGGGTCTCTCCTCCACTGCAGGCGGACTCTTCACCAGCTGAGCCGTCAGGGAAGCCCAGTATACAGCTGCCTCGTCGCCTGTCATGCGCCTTCTTTAACGGAGGGCAGATGCTGAGTCCACATGTTGTATGTATCAGTAGCTCATCTTATTTCTGAGTAGTATTCCACTGTCTGGATTCACCACTTACTCATCCATTTCCCTGCTAAAGAACATCTTCATGGTTTTTAGTTGTTAGTGATTATGAGATTATGTATGTACGTGATAGCTTTAATCATAATCACTAACAACTAAAAACTATGAAGATGTTCTTCAGCTGGGAAATGGACGAGTAAGTTGTGGTGAATTCAGACAGTGGAATACTACTCAGAAATAAGAAATAAACTACTGATGCATACAACACATGGACTCAAAATCTGCACTACATTAAAGAAGCCACATAATAGGCAATAAGATACCCTTGCCAGTACATCTGTAATCTTTTCAAATGATAACTTTCCTTTTTTTTCCCCCCCAATTATTTTTATTAGTTGGAGGCTAACTAGTTTACAATATTTTAGTGGTTTTTGCCATACACTGACATGAATCAGCCATGGATTTACATGTGTTCCCCATCCTGAACCCGCTCCCACCTCCTTCCCCATCCCATCCCTCTGGGTCTTCCCAGTGCACCAGCTCTGAGCACTTGTCTCAAGCATCCAACCTGGACTGGCGATCTGTTTTACACTTGACAATATACATGTTTCAATGCTGTCCTCTCAGATCATCCCACCCTCACCGTCTCCCATAGAGTCCAAAAGTCTGTTCTATGCATCTGTGTCTCTTTTTCCAGATGATAACTTTCTAAAGGGACAACACTGAACACACTGTAGCTGGTGGGCCACCTGTCACAACGTGAGAGGTCTGAGGGGAGGAACAGAACAAGGACTATGGCCTTTCTTATCATGATTTACAATATAATTATGGAAAGGTCTTGTCTGGGTTGTGTTTTTTAAGATGGCTTTGTATTTTTATGTGCTCTTTCCAAGCTTCTCAAAATGTTATTACCCACTCCTGTTAAATAAACAGACAAAGGGAAAGCCCCAAAAGACAAAAAAAAAAAGGCAGTATATTCAATAATTCCACGTATGTAATATTTTGGAAACAAGCAAAACATATGGACAGACATCAGATCAGTGGCCGCCCAAGGGTGAGGATGGAGGGAAGGGACTGACTGCTAGGGAGCACGGGAAACCTAACAGCATGAAAGATGTTCTTTATCACAGTGGTGGCAGTAGTTACACAGCTACACTATCAAAACACATCAAATCATATACACAGACAGGACCCATTTTACTTCATGTAAATTATACTCAAGAAATCTGACCCCTCATCCCCTCACCCCCCAAAAATAACCTGACAGAGGCATGTCAAAGGACATCAGAGCTAGTCTGAAGGGCAATCTGAACATTAAAATGACAAGCGAGAGTAATGAAGTAACATGTAGAATGAATCTATACTAATATAAATTAACGCATTCCCTGGTGGCTCAGTCAGTGAAGAATCCACCTGCAGTGCATGAGACCTGGGTTCCAGCCCTGGGTGGGGAAGATCCCCTGGAGGAGGGCAGGGCAACCCACTCCAGTGTTCTTGGCTGGAGAATCCCACGGACAGAGGAGCCTGGGGTGCTGCAGTCCGAGGGGCCGCAAAGAGTCAGACACGACTGAGCGACTACGCACAATATAAGGCAGGGGGAGATTTTCTTTGGACATGCAGAAAATGAACATTTGACATCCACCACAGGGGTAACTGGTGCTGGGAAGAAGCATCAATGCCTGCTGGAAACACTGAGGAACTCTCTAAGGACATACACAACCTTCAGGCACCTCCCCACAGGCTATGGGTTAACTACAAAGAGAAAGAAAGTCTCCTTGGAGGGGCACACATCTGGTGCAGACAACAGAACTAGCGTCACTGACTCAGATAAAATGACACCATGCAACACTGAGAAGAACTGACATTAGTTCTGCAGTGTTCCTGTTTTTAAAAAGAAGCACAAACTAGAACTAATCATGAGGCAAAAAACCCAACCAACCCAAATTTAGGGCCATTACATAGAACTGACTTTAAAAAATACCAATGTCATAAAAGACCAAAAAAAGGCCGAGTAACAAATTAAAGGAGACTAGAGAGATGCACCAGCTAAACACAATGTGTGATCCTGTACCAGGCTCAAGACCAGGAAAATAAAGGCGCATCATGGGGACAATGCCAATATGCGAATCTAGGATGTACATTAGGTACCAGTGTTACAGCAGTGTTACGTTTCCTGTGTGGACAATTAGACTGTAGTTATTTAAGATAATGTCCGTGCTCTTAAGATGCACATACTGAAATATTTGGAGTCAAAGCTCATGGTACCTGCCTCTTGCTCTCAAATGATTCAGCTAAATAAAATACAGAAAAATATGTACATTTAGAGAACAGAAAAGCAAAGATGCTAAAATGTTAAGCATTGGGGATCCTATGTGAAGGCAACAGTCACGGTCCTATCCTTAAACTTTCCATTGGCCCGAAAAATTTCAAAGAAGTGGAAGAGACGGCGAGGAAAAGGCGTGTGAGCCCACATGTGCTGTGCCCCCAAGGTGAGAGCGAGGGCACCTCAGATCAGGAAGCAGCCCGCTGCCCTACAAAGGAGGCTGTGGCAAAGAGCCCTGCTCCCAAGGCGCCCGCAGGCTGATCTCAGCAAGCCCGCCGGCGGCCCCCCTACCCCGACGGCCCGTCTGCCGAGCACTATCTCCCTGAGCAGGGCTCTCCACGTCCTGAGACTAGACTCGAAAATTAACAGTAGCCACCCCAACGGTTCACGTCAAATACACGCCCACCCTGGGCCCTCCAGCAGCCACTCTCGCTGGCTGCTCACATCGTAAACCCACTACCGAGCTGTGTCTGCAATATGACCTGGAACATATTCAGTGGGATCAGGTCACGGCTGCCTCCCAGGGACTTGTCAGTCAGAGCCATAGTACTTTTAACTACAACAATTTTATCAAAAAGCAAACCGTCTAAACTTTTCTGAAAAATTATATGAATGGTTCTGGTCTTCTCCTATTGCTTCCAACATGACATATCTTGCTGTCAAAAAAAAAACAACAACAAAAAAACCCCCTATTCATTTACTCAGTAACTGTTTCCTGAGCATCCAATATTCAATATACGCCAACTAATCTTCCAGGTGCCAGAGACAGAACTGTGGGAAAAAAATGAAAGCTCCTGCTCAACCTAATAATGGAAGCTAACATGAACATTTGATCAATGTGAGAGCTAATTAATAATATAAGCACTCATATTAACAAACTCAATGCCACACATACACACAAACTGTCGTGTTTTAAAAGTTACTTTAAAAGACAGTCACCACCAGAGGGCACTCCCACAATTTCCTCTGTGACTACCTGACGACTCCCTGCTGTGTGTTCCTTAGTCAACAGCAAAGTCTGAAGGGCAAGTCTAAAACCTAAACACAAGTCGGCTGGGGCAGAGGCAATCTCGTCCCCGAATTCCACAGCAAAAATAGGAGTTGGCAATCCCTTACTGAGACCCAGGCAACTCGGGGACCCTCAGGCAGAGCAGAGATCAGCGTGAGCAGGCAAGAAGCATCACTGGGGTCGCGGGCCCTGGCCAGCAGTCACCTCTGTGACCTTTCCGTGACCTGAGAAGGCAGGCCTCTCCTACCCCACAGTCTTCGCATCACTCCCTCAGGTCTTTAAACACCCATTCGTGTGCCACACTAATTCCTCAGCAGGGACTAGTGTGGGGACAAAGTGTTTCTTCCCTTTTCCACAACAGGTTCCCAGGGAGACCTTGTGGCTTCCTCGGGTGGAGCGCCCACCTGGGTCCCACCCAGCAACAGCCCTGTTATTCTGAATGTCCCGTCTCACTGCCTCCCTCCCAGAACAGAGAGAGAGAGGCTGGGAGGGGTGCGGGGCCAGGGAGGAAGATGCCAGCCCCATCTGGCATGCTGCGCTCTGGAAGGGGGGCAAAGACACTCCTGCCTGCTGGGGCAGGGCGGGGTACCGCCGCGGAATGCAGGGTGGCCCTGTGACCCAAGGCAGCTCCCCACCCTCATCAGGGGGCAGCAGGTGAGCACGGCTGGCTAGGTCAGAATTCATCACTATTCGAATGAGAGAGTAAGGACTGAACTCAGGAGCCAGCTTAGGGCACCAGTATATAACAGGAGATGTCTTATAAAAGTCATGGAAGTCAGACATGAAATCTGGGGATTACCTATTTTACAGGATAATACATTTCAGGCAGGCTTTTTAAAACAGAAATAGGCCCAAAGAACTTATGAGCCACTTGGAATGGTTTTCAGCGGATGTGCTGCGCTTAGTCACTCAGCTGTGTCTGACCCTGTGACCCCGTGGACTGAAGCCCACCAGGCTTCTCTGTCCATGGCATCTCCCAGGCAGGAATACTGGAGTGGGTTGCCACTTCCTTCTCCATTTAAGCAGATGTCCCACCTCAGATTTCATTTGTCTGAAGTAACTAATATGGTGAGTTTAAAGCGCTTTGGAAAACTAATTATATATATACTTTATAATTTTGAAAAACCAAATAATTGATTTAAAAAACTATTAAAACACAATCTTGCATAGCCAAGCACAGATCAAATGAAAGAATTTGCAAATAATTTTCCAAAGCTAGGGAAACCTAAAATAAAAAAAAATACCCCTGACCTGACTAATCAATCTGGACTCACTGTGTGTTTGAAGGAAACATACACTAAATGATCTTATTTTCCATTTTGAACTAGTGATTGTTAATTACTGTTCTTAGACCATGAAGTCTCCAACAACAGTTTGAGGTTATTAAATGGGCAAACTGGGAGGCGCACACTGGACAATGACAAAACCGAAGTTCTTTTACCAACTGCTCGGGCACTTAAGCGGAGTCTTGATATTTGGGGGGTAGCATACGCTTCTGAGAGTCTTATGAAGGCAATGGACCCTCCATCCAGAAGAAAACACATGGCAACATAAACACGATCCCCTTCAGGCCATTTTACGAGGTTCATGGACATACTGAGGCCACCTACGGACTGTCTGGAGACTCACGGCTGCCCTAGGACCAAATACTGCTTTGCTAAATATGAAGTCCAAATCTCAGATACGAAGATTCGCATATATGTGATCATCATTCCAATGTTATTTAAGAAAAATACTATTCTGATGATGAACATCAAGAGTATAATAGATGCATAAAATAAGCTTACCTCAAAATTCACAGGCAAGTTCCGTTTAAGTGCAATCTCAAACACTTGACTTATTTCAGATTTATTGAGATTTTCTTCTTCTGACTCTCTTCCATTTACCTAAGGGAAGAATAACCGGTTAGCAGTTAACCCGTGTTAAAAAGCTGTCAAGATCCCAGCTGCGATGATAAACCTTAAAATTAAAAGCCCTGAACCTGTGTGGACTGAGCACTAACCCCGTGACCAGGGCGACACGTGCACTGTGTGTCAGTGAGATTGAAAAGGTTTTAAAAAATGTCCTATCAAATTTTAGTCAGTTTGTACCTCATAAATCCACCATAAACCATCCACACATAACAGGGCTCTACATATAATCAGCCTGATGGTGAGAGCCGTGGCTGCTCGGGGAGCGGGGCTCCCGAAGCCCCCTGGATCTGTCCCCCACCCGGGGACAGGCAAGCCACACCCTGGAAGAAGTCCAAACACAGGCAGTCGAGCTGGGCCACAGCAAGGACAAGGGCAGGTCTCGCCGCCGGGGTGTGTAGGTTTCTTATTTGGACAAAAAGTCGCTAGAAACCACTTTTAAAAAAGATGCAGTGAAAGAGTTACAAAACCACTACGGGTCTCACACGTGACTGCTGCTGGCAAAAATGCAAGATGCTAACGAACAGAACTGCCTGTCGCCCAGTCGCGTCCGACTCTGCGACCCCAAGGACGGCAGCCTCCCGCGCTCCTCTCCACGGGATTCCCCAGGCAGGAATACTGGAGTGGGCTGCCGTGTCCTCCTCCAGGGGTCTTCCTGACCCAGAGATCAACCACATGACTTTTATGTCTCCTGCACAGACAGGCAGGTTCTTTACCACCAGGACCACGAGCCTTCAACAGAAGCGGCCTCCGGCTCTGTAACAAGGCTCGTTTACAGCCCTCCAGTGGGGGCTGAGGGGGTAGAGAGCTCCGCACACGTGGCCCACGTGGCCTCTATACTGCGCAGGCATGACAACACGACAAACAAGATCCACAGTGACCCCAAAACATGGCAAGGCACCGTGTTTTTCTTATTCCCGGAGATTCTTTAGTCAAAGAACTTCTGAAGTCCTAGTTTAAAGATCAGAATTTCTATGACAGGAACCTGTGGCTGAAATTACTGAACAGGCAATGTGTAGCAAAATACAGGATTTGACCTGTTGTGTATTTCTTGAGGTAGAGTCTAACCCTAACTTAGGATCCATATTTCAAGCTATACATAAAAGCTCTAAATTAAAAAAATAATTAAGAATAGGATCCTATACACATAAATTTAACCAGACAATGTAATTCTGTCTCTCCTTTCATGATAATGTTTTCTTTCCATCTGGTTTCATTTCACTCGCTGCCTGGTGATATACTGTTTACAGAGCAATTTCTGATGGTTCAGTAAGCCGAACACATTTTTTCACTTGTTGGTAAACCCTGAAGAGGAAAAGGGCCTGCCTTTTTATGAGTGAATCTTTAAAGCCATAAATCTCCAAGCAAGGTGTCTTAGAATTCTAGGGTTCCACAGAGGTTTGGCTAAAAATTTATTTTTTAAATAGGTTTAAACAAACCTATTAAAAAGCATTTTAAAAAGTAAGCCTGTTCAACAAATAGTGCTGGGAAAACCAGATATCTACACACACAAAAAATGAAGTTGGACTCTTACCTCATACCACATTCACAAATAAACTCAATGGATCAAAGACCTAAATGTAAGGGCTAAAAGTATAAAACTCTTAGAAGAAAACACAGGGGGAAAACTCCATGACACTGGATTTGGCAATGATTTCTTGGATAGAACACCAAATGCAAATGTAAATTTTGACTTCATCAAAATTTAAAACTTTAGTACAAAAAACTACCCGAACAATGTTGGTACACTAAAGGACACAAGAAAACAAAGACAACCCATAGGATGAAAGAAAATACTCACAAATCACATATTTGATAAAGAATTAATGTCCAGAATACATGAAGAACTACAACAACTCCACAACAAATAATGCAATTCAAAAATGGAGAAAGGATTTGAACAGACATTTCTCCAAAGGAGATACGCAAATACCCAACACATCACTACTCAAAGAGAAATGCAAATCAAAACCATAATGAGATACCACCTCACACATATAAGGACAGCCACAGAAAATGGCAAATGTTGTCAAGGTTGTGCAAAAATTGCAATCTTTGCACATTTCTGTTGAAAATGTAAGATGGTGTAGCCTCTGTGGAGAATAGTATGGTGGGTTTCTAAAAAATTTAAACATGGAATTACAATATGATCCAGCAATTTCACTGCTAAACACATACTCAAAAGAATTAAAAGTAGGTATTCAGATACGTGTACACCAATGTTCACAGTAGTAGTATTATTTACAATAGCCAGAAGACGATAATCACACAAACATCCATCAACAGATGAATGGATGAAAAAAACATGGAACACAGATACAATGGTCAGTCTTAAAAAGGAATGGAGGGGGGCGGGGAGAATGGAATTGTGAAACAAGCTACAACACAGAGGAACCTTGAAAAATTATGATAAACGAAATAAGTCAGACACAGAAAACAAATGTGCACTTACACGAGGTATCTACAACAGTTAAGTACAGAGACAGAAGCAGGAGAGAGGTTTACCACAGGCCTGAAGACAGCGGGGGTGGGGGAAGGCAGAGTTACTGCTGAATGTGTCCATGACTCCTGGAGTTTCGATGTGACGTGATGAAAGGGTTTTGAAAATGGACCGTGGGACAGCTACAGAGCACTGTGAATGTATTTAAGGACACTTTTTGTGCATAACCACATCTGTTGACAGCTGTTTATTTGAAGAGTTCAGAGATTTCTACAATACACAAGCTGTTTACATCCTCTCATGGTACGTGACTCTGTCAATGAGACTGTTTTCCTTAGGTGCAACCAGAACCAAATTTGGAAATAAACCAGGTGCTGCTGACACAAGACTTCAACTGCCATTCATATACCCCAATTTTCCTTCTTTTTTTTTTGTTCATTATACCAGTTCAATTCCTTTTAATTTTTACTTTTAGTTTTGACCTGTTTCAAACATACAGAAAAGTACAGATAATAATGTAACACACAACTCTACCGGATATAACAAACGGCAACACTAAACACCACTGACATTCTTTTTCTCCTTTCATAAAGAAAACAATGAAATCCTTCTCACACTCCTTCCCACAAGAGAGTTAACCACTACTCTAAAACGGGACTGAACTTTCCCAGCCATGTGGGTTTTTGTTGTTGTTTTTTAATGGACACAAACAATATATAGAGTAATTTGTTGTTGTGAAAATTCAGATAAATCATTCTCACTGACTGCCTTTATAAATACTTTAAAATTCAAACTGACAAGTTCTGCTAATGAACTTAGTCACTTTTGTATTTTGCACACTGAGGTCCCGCCTAGTCTAGAAGACACCTAGTCTGGGGACCCCTGAGTCTAGGGGAACACCTAGTCTAGGGGACCCCTGAGTCTAGGGGAACACCTAGTCTAGGGGACCCCTGAGACCAGGGGAATACCTAGTCTAGGGGACCTGAGTCTAGGGGAACACCTAGTCTAGGGGACCCCGAGTCTAGGGGACCCCTGAATCTAAGGGACCCCTGGTCTAGGGGACCCCTGAGTCTAGGGGAACACCTGAGTCTAGGGGACCCCTGGTCTAAGGAACACCTGGTCTAGGGGACCCCTGAGTCTAGGGGAATACCTGAGTCTAGGGGACCCCTAAGTCTAGGGGAACACCTGAGTCTAGGGGAACATCTGAGTCTAGGGGACCCCTGGTTTCCCACTGAACCCTAACCCTCTGTCAGTGCTCCTCAAACACAGCAGCGGCAGCATCACACGGGAGCTGCACAAATACAGATGCCAGAGCCCCGCTCCAGATACGTGAACTCAAATTTCTGCAGGTAGGGCCTGGATATCCGTTTTATACATGGTATTTGTTTTTTTGTTTTTTAAAAAGTCCCCTAGCGACCAGAGTTGAGATTCACGGCTCGAAGCTACTGCTTCAAACAAAACTGCAGACTGGACAAAGCAGCCAGTAAAATAAAAATGCAAATCAGAAAACAAAATATACATATATCTGGAAGAGAGATTATATTGCTCTTTTACATAAATAATTTTAATATTATCTAGACTGGACAAAATGTTGCAATGGGGGAAGCAGCAAATGACTCAAAAAAAATCCACAAATATCATTCCCAATGAGATGAGGAAACTGTAGCGGGCCCTTAGTCTTACCTTCAGGAAGTGGGAATTACTGTTAACATCAATCCCATAGTGTATGGTTCAGCAATAAAATCTAGGCAACATTAAGGAAAAAAAAACAAAAACACTCTGAACCATGCTTAACCCTCAACATGCCAGGGAAAAACAATCATCACCATTTACCATCCAGCTCCAATGGACCCTCTAGATTTTTCTATATTTAAAGTCATTTTATATAGCACTGAATCATGTATATTATCAAGCGTGAAACAAGATAGCCAGTCCAGGGTGGATGCACGAGACAAGTGCTCAGGGCTGGTGCACTGGGATGACCCAGAGGGATGGGAGGGGGAGGGAGGTGGGAGAGGGGTTCAGGATGGGGAACACATGTAAATCCATGGCTGATTCATGTCAATGTATGGCAAAAACCACTACAATGTTGTTCAAAAAAAAAAAGTCATTTTACAAATAACATACAGAATAAAAGGACAAAAAAAATCATTCCATCATAGATTTTAATAAGAAAATTAAAATAACAAACCTAACTTTTTATTCTAGGTTTGTAGTCAGGAATGAAGGCAAATATGCCCAAAACAGGCAAAGACACTAAACACAACTAATGGCTCACCAGCTGCCACGCCGGAACTTAAGAGCACAGCCCACAGTAACGATGCCAGACTTCAAACCCACTCCTGTGGGTTCCAGCTTATCATGATTCTAATTCTTCTTGTACTCGTATTGTCAAAACATATTACTTTTGAAAATGACTCATAACCGTTGAAGGGAGAACAGCCATCTCCTTTGCTCCATAACTACAAAATGCTTTCATTTCCAGGTTTATAAACACCGAGAGAAGGATCAGCCTAATGATCTTTTTGTCATTACT